TCCTAGTGAGTCATTCTACGTTTACGTCAACCTCAAAATGCAAACCATGGGGAACCACGCTCGTTACTCGATGCTCAGCCTCGTACTTCCACCCTTACAGTTTCTCTCTGTTCCATTTTATATCCTTGATTCTCTGTGCTACTTCTCCTTTCACTCCCCTCTCAGTCTTTAATATGTAGATGGCGAGTTATTATGTCGACGGCCTTCCTGCAGCTCAGTAATGTACGATTTTTATTCCCCTGCATTGACATGCAGGAAGGGGCGTATATCTATGTATACTTTATGTATATAAAGTAAGCTTACTTTAATTCTCATATTTTGGACAAAGAAAAGGTAGACAATGGAAAATTTCTCACGGCATGTTGGAGACGTGTTGTTGACACGTGTCTTCCTGCTGTTGCGAGCGTTGGTTGTCCTGTTACCTTGTGTCTTCCTGCTGGTGAGTGTTGTGTGCTGCTCTCACCTTGTGGTGGTAGTTGGGGCGACGTGGGTTGTGGCAAATGTAACACGTGATATCTGCCTGGAATTTCCAGACATATCCTACTCAACACTCTTGCAAAACTGGTAAGTGGCGCTGTTTAAACGCAGACGCAAATGGTGTGTCTTTTCATTTCTTTATCATTATTTGCTGACAAATATTGTAAATTTTGGTAAAATACTAAGAATTAAGACCGTACTGTATGTACAATCAAGAGAGCAAAAGTTCCCTTCCTTCCGCATTGAAAGTTACATATTCACCTTCATTAACCGACAAAACACACACACACACACACTCAGAAGTGTCCTTGTTTGCAGATGATGTGAAGTTAATGAGAAGAATCAAATCGGATGAGGATCAGGCAGGACTACAAAGAGACCTGGACAGGATACAAGCCTGGTCCAGCAACTGGCTCCTTGAATTTAACCCTGCCAAATGCAAAGTCATGAAGATTGGGGAAGGGCAAAGAAGACCGCAGACACAATATAGTTTAGATGGCCAAAGACTGCGAACCTCACTCAAGGAAAAAGATCTGGGGGTGAGTATAACACCGAGCATATCTCCTGAGGCGCACATCAATCAGATAACTGCTGCAGCATACGGACGCCTGGCAAACCTACGGATAGCGTTCCAATACCTCAGTAAGGATTCGTTCAAGACTCTGTATACCATTTACGTCAGGCCCATACTGGAGAAATGCAGCACCAGTTTGAAATCCACACCTAGTCAAGCACGTCAAGAAATTAGAGAAAGTGCAAAGGTTTGCAACAAGGCTAGTCCTAGAGCTACGGGGATTGTCATACGAAGAAAGGTTGAGGAAATCGGCCTGACGACACTGAGGACAGGAGGGTCAGGGAGAACATGATAACGACATATAAAATACTGCGCTGAATAGACAAGGTGGACAAAGACGGGATGGTCCAGAGAGGGGACACAGACACAAGAGGTCACAATTGGAAGTTGAAGACTCAGATGAATCAAAGGGATGTTAGGAAGTATTTCTTCAGTCATAGAGTAGTCAGACCGTGGAATAGCCTAGAAAGTGACGTAGTGGAGGCGGGAACCATACATAGTTTTAAGGCGAGGTATGATAAAGCTCATGGGGCAGGGAGAGACAGGACCTAGTAGCAATCAGCGAAGAGGCGGGGCCAGGAGCTATGAATCGACCCCTGCAACCACAAATAGGCGAGTACAAATAGGCGAGTACACACACACACGCACACACACATGACGGAAGGAATAGACTCTGAGGTGTCCCTGTTTGCAGATGACGTGAAGTTGATGAGAAGAATTCACTCGATCGAAGACCAGGCAGAACTACAAAGGGATCTGGACAGGCTGCAGACCTGGTCCAGCAATTGGCTCCTGGAGTTCAATCCCACCAAGTGCAAAGTCATGAAGATTGGGGAAGGGCAAAGAAGACCGCAGACGGAGTACAGTCTAGGGGGCCAGAGACTACAAACCTCACTCAAGGAAAAAGATCTTGGGTAAGTATAACACCAGGCACATCTCCTGAAGTGCACATAAACCAAATAACTGCTGCAGCATAGGGGCGCCTAAAACCTCAGAACAGCTTTCCCGACACTTAATGGGAAATCATTCAGGCCCCTGTAACCGTTACGTGGGCCCCAATTGGAGTATGGGGCCCATTTTGGGAACCCACCCCTCCAAGCACGTAAAAAACTAGAGAAAGTGAAAAGGTTGCAACAAGACACCCCCAAGCAAAAGGGTATGTCCTACAGGAGGGGTTAAGGGAATAACCCTGACGACATGGAGGACAGAGAGATGGGGGGACATGATAACACAAAAAAATACTGAAGGAATTGAAAAGGGTGGACAAAGACGGGATGTTCCGAATTGGACACAGAAAACAAGGGACACTTTGGGAAGTTAAGACAAAGAATCACGGGGATTTGGGAAGTATTTCTTCACCACAATAGTCAGTAAGTGAATATTTTTGGGAGCGATGTGTGGAGGGGGACCCCATACTGCTTTAACAGATATGATAAAGCTCAGGGCTCGGGGAGGTGCCCTATGGGATCATGAAGACGGGACCGGGGCCGGGACTCGACCCCGAAACCTCAATGGTAGTACACACACAACCCACAGCACACCACACACACACACACACAACACACCAAAACCACACACACACACACACACAAAAACCACATTCCCCAGGGGATTGAGAGAGGGAGCAGGGGCCTGTGTGTCCCCCTAACAACAATATTCAATACATCTATCGAAACGGGGAGTTCCCTGGGGCTGGAAGACAGCAAAATTGTCCCACCTTAAAAAAGGAGACAGACATAGCATTAAACTACGCCCATTTCACGACTTATATATGCAAAATCGGGAGAAGATTATCGGGAGAAGATGGTGAACCCCTAAAAAAAATGATCTCATCAACAACCCCCCAGGGTTTGGGGAGGGAAACCCGTGCCCAAAACCTATGGAGTTCTAGACATGGTGACAATAAGACAAAGAGAGAGGGGGGGGTGGGTTGCATTTTTTTGGGCGCAAAAGGCGTTTGACACAGTTTCCCACAAGAGATGGTGCAAAAACTGAGGGCCAAACGGGGGTAACGGAAGGCAACAAGGACGGGGAAAACTTTAGAAGAAGCAGCGGGTCTGGTACGTGGGGAGGGGGGCAAATGGGGACCTGACCACGGGGCCCGCAGGGGGCAGTCCTAGGGCCAGGCTGTTTCTGGTATTTTTGAACGACATGACGAAGGGAATAAATTGAGGGGTCCCTGTTTGCAGATGAGTGAAGTTATGAGAAGAATACACTCGAAAACGAAAAAGCAGAACTACAAAGGGATCTGGACAGGTGCAGACCTGGGCCAAATTGGCTCCCGGGGGTTTATCCCACCAAGTCAAAACATAAATTGGGGAAGGGCAAAAAAGGCCGCAGCGAGTACAGTCTAGGGGTCAGAGACTACAAACCCATCAAGGGAAAAAAATTTGGGGGGGGTAAACACCAGGCACTTCCTGAACGCACATCCCAAATAACTGCTGCACATATGCGCCTAGCAAACCCCAGAAAACATTCCGACATCTTAAAAGGAATCTTAAGGCCCTGTACCCGTATACGTTTTGGCCCATATTTGGGGTACGGACCCCGTTTTGGAACCCCCACCTACCAAAACCCTAAAGAAACTAGAAAGGCAAAATTTTCAACAAGACTATCCCCGACTAAGAGGTATGCCTACGGGAGAGGTTTGGAAATCAACCTGAGCACGGAGGACAGGAGAGAAGGGGGGGCATATAACGACATACAAAATACTGAAGGGAATTGACAAGGTGGACAAAGACAGGATGTTCCAGAGATTGGACACAGTAACAAGGGACACAGTTGGAAGCTGAAGACACAGATGAATCACAGGGATGTTAGGAAGTATTTCTTCAGCCACAGAGTAGTCAGTAAGTGGAATAGTTTGGGAAGCGATGTAGTGGAGGCAGGATCCATACATAGCTTTAAGCAGAGGTATGATAAAGCTCACGGCTCAGGGAGAGTGACCTAGTAGCGATCAGTGAAGAGGCGGGGCCAGGAGCTCGGACTCGACCCCCGCAACCTCAACTAGGTGAGTACAACTAGGTGAGTACACACACACACACAATATAGTGAGCCGAGCTGCAGATAAAAGTGTACAATTTGATGATCCCAGATTAAGACTGTAGTGGGCGTTTGTTCTTACCATTTGTATTCCATGCTCTATAATTTAAGTTTAGCCTTATTTAACCAGCGGCTTGCCCATCTCAATCATGGCTCATAAAGGAGGCTTGTTGCCAACTGTTCCACGACAGCTCGAGGTGTTGTCTAGCCAGGACACGCTATGTAACCTGGACCAGAGGCTATCAGTCAGCCAGTGTCATGTTGAACCCCGGGCTGTTACATCATCTCCCAGGATCCACGGAGGCTCAACCGGGCGTTCTATGCACACCATCGCTCCCACTCCCGAGGCTTTTTATCCCCATTCCCCTATCGTGGCGACGCCCTCCCTCCCTCCGTCCATCCATCACCCCCGCTGCTCTCCCCATCAACTCCCTAATTCACTGGCTAGACCCTGGCCGGACCTAGCGCACTCCTACGTGGCCTTCTTGGTCATCACCTCCGCCCACACACTTCTTACTCCACTTAACACTCTTCCTACCTTCCTTTTGGTAACTATTTCACTTCCCTATGCGCTCTTCCATTTCTCCTTCAGCCTTTACTCCACCTTCAAATCGGGACTTTTTTTTTATTCTGTTCACTTCTCACTATTTTCTTTCTCATCCCTTTCATTCGTCTTCCATTCTGTTTCCCACCACTCGTCTCTTACCCGTCCGTCTTCACCATCCATCTTTAGTGGTAAAGATGCTACGCCCTGCCTTGCCCTACCCACATACCCTCCATTACTAAACCCTTGAGATCACCTTCCATACCCCCTCCCCTTCTCCCCCATTCCGCATCCCTGCCTTTTACCACCGCTCCTCCTCCTTGGCGCACCAGGGTGGGCAGAGGGTCCAAGGAGCAGTAGACTTGGGGCAGACGACACAAGGCAGACGTACCATAGCCACAGAGGGTAAGGTTGTGGGCGGGAGGGCGTGTTGCCACCAGGAGACGCCCTTTTGACACACACACACACACACACACACACACACACACACACACACACACACACACACCTGCCGCGCGCTCTTTGTGTTTCTGTTTCTCCTCTCCACCGCTGACCCTCTTCATAACAGTCAAGACTGTTCCTGAATGTGCACTGGACGATCTGTATGTATGGTGGCGCTTAGCTGAGGAACTGTGCTTCTCACTTGTGCTTGTGGGGGAAATTACCGCAAGGTTTGTGGCTGGTGCTGTTTCTATTGTAACTGTTTAGTGATTTAGTTAACATAGTGAGTGGAGTTGTTCAAGGTGACACCAGGTAACTAAACTTGATGGATATTACATGAGGGTGGTGATTATTCCTCCTGTCCTTTGTTAACTGTTAACAGAGTGTAGTGACACCTAAAGTCAGTACCTGATCAACCGGGCTGTGGTTCGCACATCGGTTTGTGTGCGGCCAGCAGTAACAGCCTGGTTGATCAGACCCTGATCCACCACGAGGTCTGGTCTCAGACCGGGCCGCAGGAGTGTTGACCCCCGAAACCCTCTCCAGGTACTCCAGGTAAACCCCAGACGTAAGTCAAGTCCTTTTCGATTAAGAATGTTGTTCAGGTCTGCGTTATTAACCTGGAGAGTGACAGATATGCTTCATGATTTGTGAATAATGATATTCTGTCATTCCAAGCTCCATCTCTTAAAGTAAATAAATTTAATGTGTATGCGCGTGTATGAAGACTTTATATGGAGAATAATAACCACAGTGAGTCACAGTACTGTGGCTGGAAGTTCACCAGGAACCAACCAGCACTTTGACAATGGTCCAGGACGGAGCGAAACGTCGTCACAAGGTTGCTCTCCTAAGCGTGGGAAACTTTGGAGTCCAGTCCCTGGACCAATTATGTACCTCTGTAATCTTTTGACTACCGCCCACAGGATGGGTATGGGGTGCATAATAAACATATTAAACTAACTAACTAAGAGTGGCTTCTGATGAATCTTTTAAGTAAAAACTGTATGATGCTAGTCTTCACTCCATCAGTGCAGTTGTTAAACCTTGTTAGCCCACCAGTTGTTGGAACTTATTAACCCACCAGATGGTCATCAGCCACCCTCCTCCCCCGGCATTGTTATAACAGATCTGATAGTTTACTGTGCATTCCGGGGCCACCCTGTGGACCACCCTGTGGGCCACCCTGTGAGCGGTAGCTCAGGCGATCCCTCTTCATATATCATTCAACAGAAACCCGAGTCTTATACGTCGGTTGTTGTGGGGTCGCATCCTATGGAAGGGCCATGGTATCCCAAACAAATATATTAGAAACACCACTTGGCTCTTTTTGCGAGGATTATGCTTGGTTATTCCTCCTCCTGGGTTATGTTACTGCTAATAAAATTGTCTTTTTTAATAGTCATTCCAAGAATGAAGAAAAGCTCCTTTGATAGATTTGCCGAATTCTTTGTTCACTGTCTGAACAGCAGAGAGAATTATGTCTAGATTGTGTTAATGTGTGCGTAGTTACCGAAAGCTTGGAGTGACTTCGCTTTATTGGTAATAAATATTTATTTCTGCTATTGGTTCTTAATTTCGATTGTTGATTTTGATTATCGTTGGCTAATATGGTTGACTGGTATGTTTTGCAAATGCTCGTGTTTGATAACAGCGTGAACGATTGTTTGAAGGGTTGGTATGTGTATTAATGATACTGATGGTTTATCGTCTTAATGTGACCGTGATTGTGTTCTTAAGACTGTTTATTGCACTCTCTGGATCGTTTAGTGTATGTTTGAGAAGCAGGATATTATGCCATGTGTTGATTCTCCAGTGTGGGAACCGTAGCATGTGCCAGTCAGTGGCTGCTTACCCAGTCAGCCAGTCATCGTGTCATGAGCAGGAAGACCTACGTCAGTAGATTTTTTTTTCCTGACCAAACAGATACAAATATCGAAGGATATATATATTCATCTGATGAACTACGAGCTTGTCACCTGTTTAGTATCTGTGTTAGTTATACGGTTGTGTTTACGATTATGTGGTTCCTCATTTTAAGACTTTTTATAGACTACTGTCCCAGGTATCGCGAGTTACTATCGTAGTCTGGCCTGGTAACCTTAGTCAGGCTAATGGTGCCTGTGGCCTACCAGCCTCCTGACGACAATTTCATTTGTTAGCAGAATGTTTTCACAAATATTGCTAATGCAGAACGTCTACCAGTCCATCCTTCACACCGTTCATTTCTTTACGCATTGCAAAAAAGGTCAATCTTTGAAAGTCTCTTAAAAGGTTATTTTTTTTCTATTTCACATTAGATTAGGCTAAGTTAGAACTGGTTACAAACTTATAAAAACTTATATTTAAAAGACAGACTCGACACATCTGGCATCTTTGCGGAGATGTACGCCTGAAGGGGAGTACAGATAGGAAGTGCTTGTCTGATGCTCAGCAGACGGAGGATCAAGCCTCCATTACGTCTTGCGCCGAATGACCCACGTGGATTTAGCACTTAGCTTGAATTAAACATCTGAAGACGATTCCAGGAGTCGCTGGCCCTGCTACCCGGTCCCAAACTAGGCCTTGTTAATGACCTGATCAACAAGGCTGTTGGTGCTAGCCGCATGCAATCCAATGTAGGCTCTACAGTGGGAGTAATCAGGGACTAACTTGGGGAAATTATTCACTGTTGGTAATTTCCCTTATGTATGAAGGGAAGGTGTCGAAAACTCTTGGTCTCTCTACACTTGCTGAGTTAGCTCTGAGTATACTCACTGAGTATACTCCACTGTTCAGTGGAAGTATTTCACACCATCTGCCAAGGCTTTTGCTCTCGTAGGGAGTAATTTCGGTGTGCAGACCATGCCACGGGCAGGAATAGAACCCGCGATCAGAATCATAAAACTCCAGACCGACGCGCTAGCCACTGGGCCAGCTGGCTACAATAAGATTAGCGAGTTCGGTGTGCAGATTTGAGACCAATCCCTCCAGAATTTCCCGATATAAATGATGATGCATCTCTCGTTCCATGAGGTACAGTTCAAGGGACTTCAGATGCTCAAAATATTACAGGCGCTTGCCAGAATTTTTACTGGCAGTGAGAATTTTCTGTACGTTCTTGTTTTGCTGTGTCGCATGCCTTCCAAGACAATGTTACTGTGCAACAGCATTCCACTCTAGAGAGAATGATTTAAGGAGCACGTTTTTTCACACTGTGTATGGTTGCATTTATTTTTCAGTTTACTGTTGATCTGATCTTGTATATTTATACATTGATGTACATCCCTATACAGATATACATTGAAGTACGTGGTGTAACTGAATATTTGCTTCACACACTGTTCCAGCTGGTCACTAGGAACGTCATGTTAGTGTTTGTTTGTCAGGTCTGAATTAGTAATCACGGCTGTGGAATCTGTAAATTAGACTGGTATGCGGATTTTGGGATATAATGAATTTCTTAAAACCCACCTAGATGCCTCTTTACATCCTGTTTGTTGTGGGGGAGGGGAATGACCCCGGTCTTCAACGACGTTTCGAGCCTTTTATTTTTCTTTATAGGTTATTCGATATTGGTATGTGTAAATTCAGTACGTGAAGGGCGTCTTGTTACAGCCTGTCAGGTGTCAGCTGTCGTCCAGTGTCCCACACAGTACACTGTCTGGTGTCCACACACACACACACACACACACACACACACACACACACACACACACACACACACACACACACACACGTGTTGTGTGAAATCCTGTGATACTGTCTGGGCTACACTGGCTTGGGTTTGACCGCTGCCTAACAATGAAATCTGTCCACTTGAGTCATGCATTTGGTATGTGGTTGGTTGACTTAGTGTACCTCCTTGTCCATTAACACATGCCCTTTTCCATTAACCCATGTACATATAACATCGGGCGTGTTTCTTTCCACCTGTTGTCTATGTTCCCCATCAGTAAAATGGGTACCTGGGTGTTAGTCGACTGGTGTGGGTCGCATCCTGGGACATTGACCTAATTTGCCCGACATGCGGAGCATAACAAGGGGCTTTCTATGTAGTAGTATGTCGTTGTCAGTTAGGCCTGTATACCATGTACATGTACTTGTAGCAAATAAAGATATTATAGGTGTATTCACCTATATGTACTCGCCTAAATGTGGTTGCAGGGGTTGAATCTTAGTTTCTGGCCCCCGCCTTTTCGGTGGTCAATTCTAGGTTCCTTCTCTCCTGGCTTCGCGAGCCTTATCATACCTTTTAAGGCTATGTATGGAGCCTGCCTCTACTACTACTTTCTCTAGGTCGTTCCCCTTCCTGACTACTACCAGGCTTAAGAAATGCTTCCTAATATCCCTGTGACTTATCCGAGATTATCACTTCCCTTGTGTTCCTCTTTGTACGTTATCACATTACTCCTATCTCTCCTACCCTCCAATGTCATCAGACTGAGTTCACTTAACCTCTCACAGAACATACCCCTTAGCTCTGGGATTAGTCTCGTTGCAAACCTCTTCGCTTTCTCTAGTTTCTTGACACGCTTGGCTAGGTGTGGGTCCCACACTGGTGCTGCATATTCCAATATGGGCCTGACGTACACTGTATACAGTTTCATGAATGACTCCTTACTTAGATGTATAAAAGCTAGTCTTAGATTGCCAGAGGTGCCTTTGCTGCAGCAGTTATTTGGTTGATGTGCGTCCCAAGGCGATATGTTTGGTACAGTACTCACCCATAGGTCCTTCTCAAGTGAAGTTTCCAGCCTTTGCCCCCCGAGCCTGTACTCCGTCTGCAGTCTTCATTGTCCCTCCCCAAGATTCACAGTTTTCCACTTGCTTGGGTTACAGTACAGCAGCCACTGCAGACTAAGCTTGCGGTATGTCCAGATCCATTTGTAGCCTTTCCTGGTCCTCGTCAGCTTGTCTTCTCTTTATTAGTTTCACGTTACCTGCGAACAGGTATACCATTGACTGTCTTTTATGTCGTTGACGTATACAAGAAACAGCACCGGCCCTAGGACTGACCCCTATGGGACCCAAATTCTGATCCTTGGGGAACCCGAAATGTTACACTATCCCATCCTGAAATGTCTTATTTTTTCATCATACACTGTTTTCTGTTCGTTAGGTATTCCTCGATTCACTGTAATACTTTGCACACCTGCTTGCTTCTCTAATTTATGAATCATTCTCACGTAGGACACTATAAAATTAGTTCCTACAGTCCAAGAACTTTCAGTAGATCCAGCCTTGTCTTTCGTGCTTGAGTACCATTATTCTTGTACTTGTGTGTACTTGTCCCTAAATAAACTTGCTTGTTCTGTCATAGAACTTCAGTAGTATGTCATTGTTGTCAGCTAGGCCTGTATACTATGTACATGTACTTGTAGTAAATAAAGATATAGGTGTATTCACCTATATGTACTCGCCTAAATGTGGTTGCAGGGGTCGAATGTTAGTTTCTGGCCCCCGCCTTTTCGCTGGTCAGTTCTAGGTTCACTCTCTCCTGGCTTCGCGAGCCTCATCATACCTTTTAAGGCTATGTATGGAGCCTGCCTCTACTACTACTTTCTCTAGGAGGTAAGGGAGGATTTACCTCCCCTAAAGTTCCACCTCTCTAGGTGCTCAACCAAACTTTTCGTGATTATAAATAACAAAAAGGCACAATACCGTGACTAGAACGATACACAAATAACCCGCACATAAAAGAGAGAAGCTTAAGGTGGAAACCAGGTTAAGTCGAGATGGTTCATCCACTGCCTTTATTTCTTTGATATGACGGGTCATGAAATTTTCATTACTGCCACCATCAGTTTTGTTCTCCATGTTTCCAACCCTCAATGTGAATCCCAGTTCTCTCAATCCGGTTTCTCGTGAATGCAGTGCCACTACTGTCTGTAGCTTTGTTGTGGCCTTACTCACACTTGTGTTGCTCTCTCTAGAATTTGTGTTGTGGCTCTGTTCTCCTCGTCCTCCTGCCTCAGCCTCAGCTTATACTTGTCCAGTCATGGGGAGGATGTAAAAAAAAAAAAATGCTATTATTGCTATTACCTTGGATCCCCTACTTATTCTGTTAGTTATTGAAATTACCAGTGGTTGCTTCTAATACATATATATATATTTTTTAAATTCCACTGATTCCTTGATATTAGAGCCACTCTACATTATCTGTTTTCTCTGTCTGTGTCTGTGTCTGTCTGTGTGTCTCATAATTAGTTTAACCCCTATTCACTCTCACCCCTCATTCCTCAACTGCCTTTCTCATGTCCCACCTACCTCATTCTTACTTTTCGTTCTGTGTCATTACTTGTATATCAGTTTCTGCGCCTCCGGCTTACATCCGAAAGATCCGGGTCCCTGCCAGAGTCGGGTAGCAACGTTAAGCATGAGTCTGGTAAGCACTTACCTGCCGTGTACCCCCCCCCCCCCAATCGCTGGAAATATTCGCAAACTACACTAATAGACTTCCTTGGGGTTAATAATCCGATTAATGCCAACGTTCTCCCCCTTCTCTACTTCCCCCTTCCCTCTTTCCCCTCCTCGGTTAACAAAGTCCTGGGGATTAACTAGCGTCTAGGACCACCATTGAATGACTAGGTGACGCCATCAGCCTTTACGCTAGCCTGACCTCACGGTATGATGTCACAGTATGATGTTCTAGCATGTCACAGCATGATGTTATAGCACGAGTCATGATGTTATAGCACGAGTCATGATGTTACAGCACAAGTCATGATGTTATAGCATGTCAAGAGTCATGACGACGTCTTTAAGGGGACTTGAGCTAGAGTTCGTCACGGCCACGCTAGCGAGAGATTCATCTGCAAAAACTTGCATTTGTGGTCACAGTGGTGGCCCATACTAACCTTCCTATGGTGTATAAAGATACCTAGTGGGATGAATCTTGTTTTAGCCAGATGGCTTACACGCTTGCCGAGAGTTCAATCCCCACCCACACCACGGTTTGTTGCAGAACCAACAACATGAATCACAACTCGGCATCATTTAAGATCCCCGAAGTTCTGGTGAGGCTTCTGTTGTTCCAGCAGCCGATACTGTGATCGCCTGACCTCACATGCGACCTCATAACGCCATTCTTTCACCTCAGCTTGTACAGAAACACATGGGCATTGCGCACAATTCAAGACGGTCCTGGTGGGCGAAACACCTTCACAATACAGTGCCATAACTCGCATTGTGTGACAGTTTTGTTTACACGAGGAGCCTCCTTGAAGGGAGGGCGAGGAGAATAATTGTGAATTATCGTACAGTATAAACTAAAGGAAACATTAGGTTGGTGTAATCTCGATCATGATTACCTGTTCATGTGCCAGGTGTGGCACCACCAGGTGTGGCACCGCCAGGTGTGGCACCACCAGGTAGTGGCCCAGGAAATGCCGTGACCACCAGTTTAAGCTCCGAAATGTCCAGCTAATAACTGGACGACATAGCCAGTGATACACACTTAAACATTAAAAAATGTTAGTTAACAACAGCATTCCTATGACTCCAAGAAGTTACAACAGCAAGATAAACATCAGTTAAATAAAAAAAAGTACTTTTTTTTAATGTGTTAATGTCTTTATTTACGTTAACTTTCTTTTTTTCTGTAGGGTCTTTGTGACCAAGAATATTGGGAGAGCAGCATCGTCCCTCCTGCCAGGATGAACACCATCCTCTACCTCATCTTCATCGTCTCAGGTAACTCCATACCCCTGTTACATTATTTTTCAAATCTATTACATTTCAACAATGTTCCAAAAAAAAAAATTGAGGCACAGGTAATGAGAGGTAAAACAACGTTGCTGATGATTCTGTAGTTACGTGTATTGTGTGTGAGAGATGCTGGAGGCTCGATCCTCCTTCACGGAACTACTTAAACTACATCCCTTCCTGACTGGAGCCACCAGTTGTCACCAGTATATCAGATATTTTCCCCAGGAATACATTAGTTACTCATTGCACGGGCAGGAAACATTTGTTAGTGAATAACGCAATGAAAAGGCTGAAGAACAACTATTATAGACATCTTTACAACTCTTCTGCTTCTGCTGCCTCTTCTGTACTCGGCTGAAGAAGCCTAGTGTATAGGCGAAAAGTTTCGGAATAAAGATACCTAACTGATGCACGTATTTTTCATCAGCTTGTTGGTACTGTATACCATTATGATATTCAGGGCCTCGAGGGATATTGAGGGTACTGAAAAAAACAGTGGTTTTGTCAGTACAGTAGAGGAAAATAAGGGGGGAAGACTAGGACGTAATCGGTCCCTCAGCAAGCGGAACCAGATGAATGCACACAGTAAATTTACTAGATTTAGCCGTAAGGAAGCACAGCTGGGCGAGTACACGGTAAACTCACCCTGGACTCGGCCTCCCGCAGTCACAATACTCAAACACGAGTTCTCCCGATATGAAGCATATACCTTCACTACCGTGAATGCGTTACATGACGCCCTTGTTATCGAGATGGTAACCACTGCACCAAATGGGTAAGACAAACGAGCTCCGTTCCAATTATGAAGGAGCAGAAAGGATGGGCTACCACTTCAGTCTTAAATTAGCATGAGAGCGTACATGCAACTGGCAGATAAATATGGAAAATGCAAAACAACTGACACACTCCATTAGTTTTTCCAAAGTAAAACGCGAGTCTAGGAAAGTAAAAGAAAGTAATGCCAGTATTGGAAATAATTCTTGTATGCGACTTCTGTTTCCCAAATGCTGTCTATAATATAAATAAATGAGAATGATACACCCCTCTCCTTGATCACTCTCCCACGATATATGCAGCCATGCTGTTACTAAAGCAATAAAGTGTTTCTAGACTTCATAGTTTGCCTCATGACATTCAACTTCACAGCCAACACAAACATTAGTAGCATCAGGAGGCTCAGAATCATTATTGATTGTGAGGCAATAAGCGTGAATGATATCTTGTGTACAACACTTTTCGAGCCTCAAATAATACTTATCAAAGGCAATGCCACTTCACCCGGCTAAGACGGCATAACAAATAACACCCTTAGTCTTCTCAATGAGCTGCCCAACAACCCTCTCCATGATCTGTGTAGGTCCAGCTTGTGGGATGGCAGCCTATCTGACCCAACTTCAAAGCCAAACTCTTCCAACTTTATACCCTCACGTGAAAAGTCCTCGAGAGAATTGTCTTTATCAAACTCAATGACCAAATTCATTATCTCTCCCACTTTCAGTAGGTTCCTGCCCGGGAGAATCACCCAAACCTGCTTTGCTAAGTACGTCACCTGGCAGGACCTTGGCACAAAGGCAGCCATCAATGACTTCAGAGTTGTCTTTAACACAAGCAACAGAAAACTTGTCTTGGAACATTTGGCCATCTTTAGGAAGACTAACCTAGATCCAAGGATATCAGAGTCTTGGTCATATATAAAGATCCCAAGAGTACCACCAATTCATCACATGAGCTGGGAACACATCAGGGTGGAGTACTCACCCAAAGTCTCTCTAATGTACTGATGTACAGGTCTGTGTCAAACATTCATATGCATAATGACTCCTTCAAGCATGAAGAAGTATCTGTACAGTGCACGAGGGCGTGTGCAGTATCCTTTCCCCCACAAAGTCATACTCCAACATATCTGTCATTCTGGCGAGGAGCTCCCAGACATTCCTCGCCAGAATAGCCTAATAGCTTACATTATAATGTTTTACACCCACGTACCTCCTCGTCACCGCCCCCTCTCCATTCATTCTCGTGGCTAGACACAACAAACAAAAATATTAACTTGTTAGAACATTCCTGAGGTGAGCAATGAATGAGGGTGATCGATCATTCTGCTCTACCCGCCTGGGTGACAACCCCTCCGCTAACCCTTATTGACTATGCATGTAGATAAAGGCATATATGCACAGTTCAATATATTTATTGAGGAAACGTTTCGCCACAAGTTGGATTCTTCAGTCCTAGTACAGAGACAAGTAAGAAACGAGTTTAGAGTGCTGTGATGATGACAACGATGATGACAACGATGACAATGATGAGTGTTAATGAGGGACTCACGAACTGACAGGAAATGATGAGTAATAATGAAGTTAAGATGAGTGAGGGAATGATGACAACGATGACGTCTGCGACGTCATCGTTGTCATCATTCCCTCACTCATCTTAACTTCATTATTACTCATCATTTCCTGTCAGTTCGTGAGTCCCTCATTAACACTCATCATTCCTTCACATTTCTTAACTTCATTTTTTACGCAACCTTCCCTCGCACCTCATAACTTCAGAAACTTCCACCCAAGGCAGACCTTACAGGAGAATCTTTGGACACAAGATTCGACATATTACTGATGAAGAATTAGCCACATGTGGAACATCTGGGTATTTTTATTTGTAGAAGTTTCGCCATCATGTGAAGAATGTAGAATTACGTATATACAAAAGATGAGGTAATCAGTCCCTCAACCTTGGAGGTGAAGGGCACCATAGTCTTCAAGACTATGGTGCTCCTATATGTCAAGGACATGTGTGTTACACACAAAAGAAACATCTAGCCATTAAGAATCACCGCTTGTACAGTTACTGTCCAAGGTGGCAGGTGCATTGCAACTCAGTATTGACGTACTGCATTCATTTCTAGCTACACTTGCGAGTCTATCACCTTCAAGTCTAGTCCCCGAGCACTGATACTGTACATCACCTGGTCAAGTGAGTCACTTCATCTTGGGGTTGCTGCCACCACCTCAATATTACCTCATAAATATCAATTCGTTGACAATTTTCAAATATAAATATAAATATAATATATATATATATATAATATATATATATATATATATATATATATATATATATATATATATATATATATATATATATATATATATATATATATAATATATATATAAAGAAAAAGAAATGCAGTCAGCAGAATTTGAGCCCACGTGTTGAGAGTGGCATAGTTTCCCCCAAGTAACATCTTAGACCATTCGGCTACAGATGCCTCAAAAAGCTAGGTAGCCGGTTTACAAGCCATGTTTCTTCCTATCCCCAGGTTCATCAATAAGTTTCATTCTCCTTCTGTATGTACTGCCCACATGAGTGAATTTATATCAATGAACCACATGGAAACAAGGAAATGTGTATACAGAGAAACAGTCACTACACGTATGGAGAGTGGCATAGTTCAACTCTGGGCCATCCCAACCATACCAGTACCAACACTAATACCAACCCCTCACTTCTTGGCATTATCCCCACTCCTTCCCTGACCACATCCTTGATGAGGGATATACAGCAACCCAGCCCCTACCTCCCCTCACACCTGTCAGATGAGCATCATGCGAAGAGAGTAGAAAGCAAAAACCCAGTGTATGAAATGGGAATGTAAGCTAAGAGTGTGGTACACAAGCACAGGTAGACTATCCAACAAGATTGACGAACTGAAGGAATGAATAGCTATCAGACAACGCTGAGCTACGTAATATCAGATGACCCATTTCCAATTGGATATCAAGTGATAAAGAGAGACAGGAAACAGGGGAGGTGGAGTGGCACTGATTATCAGAATCAGTGGGGTTTTGAAGAGTTGAGAGGGATAAACAGACAAGAGATACATAACTACAGAGAGGGCTTGGTCAAGACTGGGAAGCCTAAAGTAGAAGTTGAAGTGATATAAAACCTGCCACCTAACAGGAGATCGAGGCAGGATTAACATAAAGAAATGGTTGAAATAATAACTGAAGCAGCTATGAGTGCCCACAGAGATAAACTGGCAAAACTGGGGCTTGCACGGGGGACCAGAAACAGAGGGATAGGCTGATGGAAGCGGTCAGCTGAAATTATGTGTAAGCATGTTAAGAATACGATAAGGAGATAAGTCAGCAAGACTGGACTTGGTATTTACCACATTTATATCAGGCATGGGAGAAATAAAGTAGGAGAGCCTCCTGGGCGCTAGCGACCATGCAGTGCTGAACTTCAACTATCTTGTGGAACTATATGTAAAGGGAAGAATGGCAAGCGGAGGGAGTGAGAAGTTAGTCTTTAGAAGGGGGAACTTTGCAAGAATGAAGGAATTCCTGAATATAGCGCAGTGAAGAAGACAAATGGAAGGAAAGTCAGTGGATGAGATAGAGTACGGTGCTGGAAAATACCAGAAGGCAGAGAACTTCGTACCCATAAGGCGAATGGGGAATAGCAAAGACAAAGAACTGGGGTTAACCAGAGATACAGAATGGTAAAGAAACGAGAGAAGTATACGAGCTTGGAAAAATTATATAAAGCGAAGGACAGATGAAAACATAGTAGAAACGAACCCGCAAGGGCGAGAAGAAATGCGGAGAAATAATTTGAGAACAGCATAGCTAAGGCGAAGGCTGAACCAAAAATTCTTCAGCCATATGAAGACAGACAATAGTAAAAGACCAGGTAATTCGACTCAAGGAGGAGTATACCTGGAAGGTGTTCTGAGGAAGGGGGAGAGCTTTTGGAAACTGACAAGGAAGTCTGTGAAGCTGAACAAATGATTCAATGAATTCTTCTCAGTGGAAGTTGGGGCAACGCCAGAAAGTCTAAAAGAAAGGGTACATTAACAGGTGCTGGACACGGTACACACCACACGGGAACTGGGGAAAAAAAAACGTTTGATGAAGCTGGATACATCAAAAGCAGTGGGACATGACAAGGTGTCACCATGAATTCTGCGAGAGGGAGCAGAAGCATTATCTGAACCACTAGCTAAGAGCAACAACAAATCAACGAACATGGAACACTTGCCATAGATCTGGAAGAGACCGAATACAGCGCTTATATTCAGAAAAAGAGACAAGCAGAAAATTCTAAACTACAGGCTAGTTTCTGTGACACATAACTCAAGGTAATGGAGGATAGTATTATTATTATTATAATCAAGGGGGAAGCGCTAAACCCATAGGATTATACAGCGCCCAGGGGAGGGGGGGATGTGGAAGGCATTCAGGCTTAATTCGGGGAACTGGAGCACAGATCCAATTCCCTAAATCAAGAGCCCCTCACCAACATCAAGGAACCTTCCATGAGGGGATGGAGGATAGTAGAGCACTTGGAGAGAAGAGGTTTTATAAACAATAACCAGCATGGGTTCAGAGATGGTAAATCTCGTTTCGCCAACCTGTTGGAATTCTATGATAAAGTAACGGTAGTGAGACAGGAGAGATGAGTGGGTGGATTGCATTTTCTTGGACTGCAAGGAGGCATTTGATACAGTACCATGCACGAGTCTGGGGGCAAAGATTTGAGGTGTAGGTAAGTATAACAGGAAACATATTCCAATGGATCAAAGAGGACCTCAAAGAAAGGAAGCAGAGAGATTGTCCGTAATGAGACGTCGGAATGGAAAAGTGTGACAGGCGGGGTGCTGCAAGGATTAGTATTAGGGCCAGTACTGTTTCTGGTTGATGTGACTGATATTTTAGATGGGATTGAGTCTAATGTATTCCTGTTCGCTGTTGCTGATGTAAAACTGACAAGAAGAGAAAAAAATAAAGACGAGGACAACAAAAGGCTGCAAATGAATCTGGATAAATTTCAAGACTGGTTACCTGGAGGTTATTCCGGGGATCAACGCCCCCGCGGCCCGGTCCATGACCAGGCCCCCCGATGGATCAGGGCCTGATCAACTAGGCTGTTACTGCTGGCCGCACGCAGTCCAACGTACGAGCCACAGCCCGGCTGATCCGGCACTGACTTTAGGTATCTGTCCAGCTCTCTCTTGAAGGCAGCCAGGGGTTTATTGGCAATTCCCCTAATGCTTGATGGGAGGCTGTTGAACAGTTTTGGGCCCCGGACACTTATGGTGTTTTCTCTTAGTAACATACAAAATACTAAGGGGAATTAAGATGGTAGCCAGGAGCAGGCTGTTTGAGGCGAGAAACAGGAACTCAGGGACACAGCTAGAAATTAAAGACAACTGAACCACAGGGATGTCAGGAAGTATTTCAGTCTCAAAGTAGTTGGAAGGTGGAATGATCTCGGCGACAGACTAAGCACAGCTTTAAGAGCAGGTACGAGGAGGCTCACCAGGCTGGGAGTGAATCTGTCAAGCGGAAAGCTGAGAGGCGAGGCCAAGAGACTCGACCTCTGCAGTCCCATATAGGCGAGTACAAGTACACACATCCTTTCAAGGTGAAGGACACGACTCGAGTGAGTCTTCACTGGCCCATGTGGAGTGGAGCGCCAGTTAAATGCTTGTTAAAAGGGTATCATTACCCTCTCACCATCATTATTATTATATGCTTGGAGAAGCGATAAACCTGTAATCATCCTCTCTGCAGTGTCTAGGTTACCCATGGTTCTTACGGTTATAATCCCGTTAAAACGATTTCTAATTTCTTTGCGCTAGTGTTTCTAAAATTGCCTAATTAGTTCTACTATTTGATATTTATTTCCGGGTCATTTATCTAGTTAGGGTTCTCTTTTACAGAATGATAAATGGTCAGTTAATGAATTATGTATGTTATATCAGGGTTCCACTAACAATCACTGGAATTGTTCGAGGTAATTTTCATGAGGTCGTTTTTTTTCTTGGTAGGTTATCTACACGGATTCTTGTTTTTTCTTTTCTATTAATTCCTCTGGCGTCAATGAGTTTCTGGAGAAATTACTTTACGACCAAGAACTTTTTTGAGATTGTTAATTAGTCATGAAGGCCTGGGAAAAATGATCTCGTGAACACTTAATAGCGCTCGTGTTCTCTCTCGCTCTATACACAGGGCTTATAGCCCTTGTGGTTTAGCGCTTCTTTTTTATAATAATAATAATAATAATAATAATAATAATAATAATAATAATAATAATAATAATAATAATAATAATAATAATAATAATAATAATAATAATAATAATAATAATAATAATAATAATAATAATAATAATAATAATAATATACACAGGGCTTTGCTCTGTTAGGTTTAGGGTTCCTAACTATTTACAAGCTAAGAACTGTCTATCTCTAAGATAAGATTTCGTTCGGATTTTTAACCCCGGAGGGTTAGCCACCCAGGCTAACCCAAGAAAGTCAGTGCGTCATCGAGGACTAACTTATTTCCATTGTGGTCCTCAATCTTGTCCCCCAGGATGCGACCCACACCAGTCGACTAACACCCAGGTACCTATTTTGCTGCTAGGTGAACAGGACAACAGGTGAAAGGAAACGTGTCGAAATGTTTCCACCCGCTGGGAATCGAACCCGGGTCCTCCGTGTGTGAAGCGAGAGCTTTAGCCACCAGGCCACTATATTAGATTCTGTACTCTTCTGTCCACCATACTAAACACTGTATTCTATGTTTTGTCTACCGTACTAAGCAGTGTGTTCTACGTTCTCTCCTTGACAGCCGTTGCCATTACAGATGTCTGGGGTTCACACCGCCACCGCCCGGCTACAGGCACCAGGTAAGCTTCATTGTTATATACATAGCTACACTATCAGGTACAGCATCTTCATCTACAGGTATCGTTGTCAATACAAATCACGATTATCATCTTACTAGCAATATGAATAGTAGAGAGTAATGAATTTTCCGACGCAGCAAACGAGTTTAAAAAAAAAAAAAAAATGGTCGCAACCCATACACATTTCTCACCTTTTTGTTTTGACGACTCTCTTGTTAACAGTAGAAAAGTCATGACGTAGTTCGATAAATGGATTACCATAATGGTAACGCGAGTGAATCACACAAGGTACTTACAGTAGCGAGGTGGGAGACAGGGAGAAGGCCAGAGAGGTGCCCTATGCCCTCCTGGGTCAGAAATAAACAAGACAAATGGAGAAAGAAGATAATTCAGAAGTCCTAGTCTACGAGGTACGCACGCTGAAGTAGAGATGGCGCTGACGTGCACTTACTCCGGGTTAACAGAGATAACCTAAGAAACGCATCTGTTCTGGTATCTGGTTTTGTTTACCTGATCTTAACGGTTATGTTGTGTGCGTCTAATGTTGTTAAGACTTGATGCTATGACTGACCTACACCCACGTCATGGCTGGGTCTTGCTACCCTGACTGACCAACACCCACGTCAAGCCAGGTCTTGCTACACTGACCAACACCCACCTCAAGCCAGATCTTGCTACCCTGACTGACCAATACCCACGTCAGGCCGGGTCTTGCTACACTGACCAACACCCACGTCAAGCCAGGTCTTGCTACACTGACCAACACCCACCTCAAGCCAGATCTTGCTACCCTGACTGACCAATACCCACGTCAGGCCGGGTCTTGCTACACTGACCAACACCCACGTCAAGCCAGGTCTTGCTACACTGACCAACACCCACGTCAAGCCGGGTCTTGCTGCACTGACCAACACCCACGTCAAGCCAGGTCTTGCTACACTGACCAATACCCACGTCAAGCCGGGTCTTGCTACACTGACTGACCAACACCCACGTCAAGCCGGGCCTTGCTACACTGACCAACACCCACGTCAAGCCGGGTCTTGCTACACTGACTAACACCCACGTCAAGCCGAGTTCTGCTACACTAACTGACCAACCTCAGCCTCTGATCACGAAATAACCAAATGAAAATTAATATTATTTTTTTTCCAAATTGGGCCGGATATGATCCACTCGCCCCACCCTTGCTGTAACCCCCTAATTTTCATCAGGGGGACATGCAGCCCCTACTGTTCCTCGGTAAGTCGACACGCTTTAATTAGGTGAAGGGCTCTTGATCCAAGGAATCGGAGCCACCCTTCCCTCCTGGATTGAATCTGTCTGCCATTCCCCAACAGGTTTAGCGCTTCCTCTATGACACAATACTCTTATGAATGTAAGAGTATTATGACGCTGGTGAGGGGCTCTTCATCTAGGGAACTGGATTTGTGCTCAAGTTCAGTGAACTGAACATGAATGCCTTCGAACCCGGGACCCCCTTCCACAGGCGCTGTATAACCCCTACGGGTTTAGCGCTCCCGCATGATAATAAGGAGAATAGCTTTAGTTATACAGGTTAGCATAACATAGGCTAGGATAAATCATATTACGTTGATTAGCACAAGTTAGCATAGTTTGCTGGGTTAGTTCTGTAGCAACTTAAAAAGAGAAACTAAGCGTGGAAAATATAGTACCAAACCCACTTTGAAGTATGATGAAAAAAATATGTTATACAACCGATCGTTTTCCTTGTGTGTGGGAGAGAGAGAGAGAGAGAGAGAGAGAGAGAGAGAGAGAGAGAGAGAGAGAGAGAGAGAGAGAGAGAGAGAGAGAGAGAGAGAGAGAGAGAGAGAGAGAGAGGGAGGGAGGGAGGGGCTGTGTAGGTCAAGTCTTGACGGGGGATTCCTTTAACAATCACTAAATATTCGACAAGACGTTTCTACGTTAATTTCAGTCTTCTCCTCCCTTTCTCCTTCCTCTCTCCATAGTTGTATCGGGAAGTATTGTACTTCATGTATTTCTGAATCTGATCGTATTTTGTTTATATATATATATATACACACACACACATTATATATATATATATATATATATATATATATATTTATATATATATATATATATATATATATATATATTTGTTGCAGAAGGTATCTGTCCAGCAATGCTTGGAAAATTCCCAGCAGCAGGCAACACAGCAAGCATCACAGACACAAAACAACCCATCACAGTCAGCAACACCACAACCAGCAGCATCACCACCAGGAACACCACAAGCAGCAGCACCAGCAACACTTCAGACAACGTGCTCGCTCGTTTAAGCGGCACGCCAGACAAGATTCTTTATTCAGTGACGTGATACACAACCGTGGAAGTTTTAGGGCCCCGTTCCCTAACATGTTCCTGCATCACCCCAGCAGTCCCCATTACTGGCACTTGAAGCAGCTGCAGGAACGACACAAGAACATAATGGGGCAACTACACGCACAGATAGACCACCACTTGACGTCTATGAGGGAACATATTGCTCCCACATATCACAAACATCATTCCCGACCTCATATTCAGAGTCTCCAACCTCAAAGTCGCCTCCAGTATCCTCATGAACGACTGAGTCACTCCCAACACTATCTTAACCCTCGACACCATCCACAGCCTCAACGCCATCATTACCATTATCCACTCCACACTAGTACCAGGCAAAGGAAGGCACCTCACAGGGAAGATAGAGAACAGGAGCTGGCTAGCAAGCAAGTGGTGGGGAGAAAGCAGTACAGAATCTTCAGAGGTCCCACTAAGAGTATACCCGAGGATGTTGAGGTGTTCAACGATCCACAACGTTCAGAGCCTCATCGCAACACAACCATCACGGATGATCCGAGTCATGAAGGGACCAACCCAAAAAAAGATAGCAGGGAGAAATGCGTCACTGCAGGTAGTGAAGACAACGGAATTTTACAGAGACCACCCCACCACAAGATCTTCAAATCCACAACACCCTCGCACGGTACGTCAAACCTTAAACCCGTCTTCAGTCGACCAGCTTATAGCCACAGATTCACTCCAGTTTTTCCTGAAGCCCTGCCCACGTCACTTCTTCCATTCTACAACAAGATATCATCATCCTGGGATCCCCAACAATATTTGCTACCCGTAAACAAGTTCCCACACAACAGTAAGCACCAGAACCATCTTTTCACTCTCTCTGACATTCGGGCATCTAGTCGATCATTCTCGGAGAGGAGCAGAACGACACCCACTCCAGCAGGCAACAAAGATTATGTCAAGATCAATGTTGAAGATCATCTTGATCCAATGTCGTCTGCTGACCGTAAGTGCTTAAGGGTATGTCTGTTGGTCTGTTTTTGAAAAAATACATAAATATAATAACTTAATATATCAATCCTTTCAGCCTATACATTCATATTGAGTATAAACCATAAATTATGAAATATATTATTTACTTGGGGAACGATGACATGCATACATAAATAATTTATTTTGCCTTATAATTAGAAATGATGAATGTCTAAATATTGTTTTGATAATTTGGTTGTATACGCTATTTTCTTCTTACATAATTTAGGGCAGTAATAACTAGTTCACTGGAGAGTATCAAACACTAACTTCTTTTCTCTATTGTGGTTGACTTAAGTGTCATTAAGGGTGCATGTAACCTGTACACCACCAGTCACAACCTGTACACCACCAGTCACAACCTGTACACCACCAGTCACAACCTGTACACCACCAGTCACAACCTGTACACCACCAGTCACAACCTGTACACTACCAGTCACAACCTGTACACCACCAGTCACAACCTGTACACCACCAGTCACAAACTGTGCACCACCAGTCACAACCTTTGCGGATGATACTAGGATCTGCATGAGGCTGTCATCTGCTGAGGACGCGGTTAACCTCCAAGAAGATATAAACAAAGTTTTCCAGTGGGCAACGGTAAACAATATGATGTTCAATGAGGACAAATTCCAACTACTCCGTTATGGAAAACTGGAGGAGATAATAACTAGAACAGAGTATACTACTGACTCCGGCCATACAATAGAGCGGAAAAATAATGTAAGGGACCTGAGAGTAGTAATGTCTGAGGATCTCACTTTCAAGGATCACAACAGTGCCACGATCGCACGTGCAAAGAAAATGATAGTATGGATAATGAGAACTTTCAAAACGAGAGATGCCAACCCCATGATGATCCTTTTCAAATCACTTGTTATCTCTAGGCTGGAATACTGCTGTACATTAACATCTCCATTCAAAGCAGGTGAAATCGCAGATCTAGAGAGTGTACAGAGATCCTTTACTGCACGTATAAGTTCTGTCAAGCACCTTAACTACTGGGAACGCTTGGAAGCACTTGACTTGTACTCGTTGGAACGCAGGAGGGAGAGATATATCATAATCTACACTTGGAAAATCTTGGAAGGAATGGTCCCAAATCTGCACACAGAAATCACTCCCTACGAAAGTAAAAGACTGGGCAGGCGATGCAAAATGCCCCCAATAAAAAGTAGGGGCGCCATTGGTACACTAAGAGAAAACACCATAAGTGTCCGGGGCCCAAAACTGTTCAACAGCCTCCCATCAAGCATTAGGGGAATTGCCAATAAACCCCTGGCTGGCTTCAAGAGAGAGCTGGACAGATACCTAAAGTCAGTGCCGGATCAGCCGGGTTGTGGCTCGTACGTTGGACTGCGTGCGGCCAGCAGTAACAGCCTAGTTGATCAGGCCCTGATCCATCGGGAGGCCTGGTCATGGACCGGGCCGCGGGGGCGTTGATCCCCGGAATAACCTCCAGGTAACCTGTACACCACCAGTCACAACCTGTACATCATCAGTCACAACCTGTACACTACCAGTCACAACCTGTACACCACCAGTCACAAACTGTGCACCACCAGTCACAAACTGTGCACCACCAGTCACAACCTGTACACCACCAGTCACAACCTGTACACCATCAGTCACAACCTGTACACTACCAGTCACAACCTGTACACCACCAGTCACAACCTGTACACCATCAGTCACAACATGTACACCACCAGTCACAACCTGTACACCACCAGTCACAACCTGTACACCACCAGTCACAACCTGTACACCACCAGTCACAACCTGTACACCACCAGTCACAACCTGCACACCAGCCACAACCTGTATGCCACCAGTCACAACCTGTACACCAGCCACAACCTGTACATCACCAGTCACAACCTGTACACCACCAGTCACAACCTGTACACCAGCCACAACCTGTATATCACGTCACAACCTGTACACCACCAGTCACAACCTGTACACCATCAGTCACAACCTGTACACCACCAGTCACAACCTGTACACCACCATTCACAACCTGTACACTACCAGTCACAACCTGTACACCACCAGTCACAACCTGTACACCACCAGTCACAACCTGTATGCCACCAGTCACAACCTGTACACCAGCCACAACCTGTACATCACCAGTCACAACCTGTACACCACCAGTCACAACCTGTACACCAACCACAGCCTGTATATCACAAGTCACAACCTGTACACCAGCTACAACCTGTATATCACAAGTCACAACCTGTACACCACCAGTCACAACCTGTACACCACCAGTCACAACCTGTACACCATCAGTCACAACCTGTACTCCACCAGTCACAACCTGTACACCACCAGTCACAACCTGTACACCACCAGTCACAACCTGTACACCACCAGTCACAACCTGTACACCACCAGTCACAACCTGCACACCAGCCACAACCTGTATGCCACCAGTCACAACCTGTACACCAGCCACAACCTGTACATCAATCACAACCTGTACACCACCAGTCACAACCTGTACACCAGCCACAACCTGTATATCACGTCACAACCTGTACACCACCAGTCACAACCTGTACACCACCAGTCACAACCTGTACACCACCAGTCACAACCTGTACACTACCAGTCACAACCTGTACACCACCAGTCACAACCTGTACACCACCAGTCACAACCTGTCCACCAGTCACAACCTGCACACCAGCCACAACCTGTATGCCACCAGTCACAACCTGTACACCAGCCACAACCTGTACATCACCAGTCACAACCTGTACACCACCAGTCACAACCTGTACACCAGCCACAACCTGTATATCACAAGTCACAACCTGTACACCACAAGTCACAACCTGTACACCAGTGAATATACACAGAAAGATGTACGCCTAGTGTCTAATCGACATGTGCCTAGGACAAAACAGTAACTAACTAACCTCTTGGGGTACCATAACTGTGTTCCAGGTACCGCTGCTATACAGCCACATAGCTTCTGACTGGTTGCTTCATGGGTTTAAAGGCTATTGACTTCACTACGGTTATTAAGGCTGCTCGTAACTTTGTTACCGCCAGACAAAAATACTTTAATACATCAAACAGGAATTAAACTCTTAGTATATATACGCTGAGAGAAATACCTTTCTCTTCGTATAAGATGTGGTGGGATTTTTAACCCGAGGGAGAGTCAGCCACCCAGGATGACCATATAAAGTCAGGGCGTCATCAGGGAGTCTGTATTATTTCCATTGTCATCCTTTAATCGTGTCCCCCAGGATGCCACTCACAACAGTGCGCTTACTGCTAGGTGACCAGGGATAGCAGGTGTATGGAAACATGACCAATGTTTCCAGCCATGCCGGGGATTGAACCATGGACACTCAGTGTGTGAGCTGAGTGCACTGTCAACCGAGCCACAGTTATAACATCTCAGTCGTGTTAAACTTTTTAAACATAACACGAGGCATCAAAAATTACTCTGAAATCCCTGAATTCGACTCATCCTGAGCAAAAACTCAATGCTGCCAGAGGTATCCTGGCTTTTAACAGTAGTTTAAAAGCTACTGGTGGCTATAGCTCTCGGTTCATGCGGCGAGGGTAGAAACATTGGGCGTGTTTTTTTACACAGGTGGCCTATGTTCCCCAACAGTAAAATGGGTACCTGGGAGTAAGTCGACTGGTGTGGGTCGCATCCTGGGACAAATCTGATCTAATTTACCCGAAATACTCAGCATAACAAGCGGCTTTCTATATAGTAGTACGTCATTGATGTCGGCTAGGACTGTATACCTCGTACATGTACTGGCAGTAAATATATTATTATTATTATTATTATTATTATTATTATTATTATTATTATTATTATTATTATTATTACTGTTTAAAAGCACATCCTTACTCTTAATGTGATTCTCGATCAACAAAATACTACAGCAAACAGATCCTGAAATATTCTTGTTGTCATCTAGTTCTGTTCCTGTTTTTGTACCGGCTTTTTCTTTCTACTTTCATATAAGTAAGTTTATTCAGGTATACACAAATACAGTTACATATCATACATAGCAGCATATGCGTAGAGAACCTGGGATAGCCCAAAAAAGTCAGACAAAGTGATTCATTTCCATTGGTAATCGCATTTTTTTTAGGTATAGACGTTAAACCTGTTAATTTTTACATAGTATTATCTTCGTTTATAATGCTTAGGTTAAGTTAAGATTTGTTGCGGGTCTTAAAAGTCGTATGATGACCCGCAACTAGAGCTTTTGGTCATCTGACTGAGGCCTTTCCCTGGCTTACCACTCCACCCTTTTAAAAATTTTAGTTGTCTATAACATTTATATCCATGTCTGCAGAAATAATTCTCCGGGAACTTAATTTTCATTACAATGTTTTGTTACGTTTATAATTAACCAATATTATTCACCTTGTTAGTGATAGACAGTTATATTTTTTTGTGTGTGAATTAATTTGTAACCCGTATATATTTTTAAGTTTCTGTTAATACCATGTATTGGACCCTAAACATATCAGAGATTTTATGTATAGTCTAGGTTTTGCCCACAATGTTATGCATCCGTATGGGCCTTAAGATTATTGTATGTATTTTACAATAATTTTGATATGAAGATTTACATTTGTAGGGCAAAAAAAAAGGCAAAACACAGAGCCTAGGGAATGGGAGGTAATCAGGCTTGATCCGAGGACCGGGGGCGGAATATCGTAGTTCAGCACACCCATTAGACAAGTGAATGTGCAAAAAACTGAAGGAAAATTGTGGCGTTATCTAGGAAAACTGGAGATTGACGGTAGCAGAGTTCAGCAGTGACTGTTGGAAACACCGCCATGAGTGTTGGCGTCTCCTGCATTGCTAAGGAATCCATATACGTGCAGTTGACAGCACTGTGTATTGTGGATGCTTCGCATACATATACATCATTATACAACTGACATAGAACCTTGCATTGTGCGTGTTTAACGCAGAATGCAAAACAAAGTCGAGAATAAACTCTGTAGCTGGGATAATGTGTGAGAACGTTCTCTGGTAAGGTAACCTCGGAGATATAATATTACTGGATAATCCAATCATTGTGGCTTATTTATTCTGGAGTTCCAGGACAGAGTTTTGCCCAGGATGCGACCCTCAGCCTTCGACTAACTTCCAGGTTAGGTTAGGTTTGAGAAAGGTTAGGTTAAGTTTGAGATAGGTTAGGTTAGGTTAAGTTTGAGATAGGTTAGGTTAGGTTAAGTTTGAGACAGGTTAGGTTAGGTTAGGTTAAGTTTGAGATAGGTTAGGTTAAGTTTGAGATAGGTTAGTTAGGTTAGGTTGATGTTGCGTCAAGTATAAAAGCGACTAAAATGAAAATAATGAACAAAACCGGCCACTACACATCTGTCAGTACTAATAAAAATATTACTACGACTGTTAGTATTACACCTGCTGATGTTATTACCACTGCTGGAACCACAACTACCATCATTAAGTGTTATACTACCACCATTACTACTACCATCACCACTAATACTACCACCGATACCACTATCAACACTACCACCACTGCCACCATCAACACCACCACTATCACCACCAATACCACCATCACTATTACCACCACAACCTCCCCACCACAAATAAAGTTGCTACCGTAAGTACCACCTAATATCACCATCAACCACAACTACCACCACCACCATAACCACCATAAAACTACCACATCTACAACTATTACTAGCTAAGGAATTTGTAAAAATTCTTTAGCTAACACTTCACTACGTGAACTGTCTCATACTTTACTTAGAAGGACGCGTGGGTCAGGCAGAGGGCACTATACCCTGCATCAAGTGCCCGCCAGACGCCCATGTTGAAGCGCCCAGGGGAAAGGATTGTGTTTACGCCCACGTCCCTAACCCCTTCTCATGTACGCCCAGGTGAGCCCAGTCACTCTCACAACTATGTTATAGATTTAAAGTATAACTATCTACCTATATGTATATATATATATATATATATATATATATATATATATATATATATATATATATATATATATATATATATATATATATATATATATATATATATATACATATATATATGCAATAAGATCACAGTAAACAGGTGATACCAGAATATGCAAAACAACCACTGTGAAAAAATAGCGAAATTCCAAGCGCTTTCGTGACTTCTCACATTAGTTCCTTGATAATGTGAGAAGTCACGAAAGCGGTTGGAATTTTGCTATTCTTTCACAGTGGTTATTTTGCATATATATATATATATATATATATATATATATATATATATATATATATATATATATATTATGTATTTATTATGTATATATATATATTTTTATCATATATTTCTATTATATTATATTATATTATATTATATATAATTTATATATATTATATATGATATTATATAAAATATTAAAATCTTATATATCTTATATGTATGTGTTTGTGTGTCGTGTGTGTGACTCACCTATTTTGGTTGCAGGGGCGAGTCATAGTCCTGCCCCGCCTCTTCGCTTTTGCTACTAGGTCTCTCTCTCCCTGCCCTATGAGCTTTATCAATACCACGCCTTAAAACTTGGTTCCCGCCTTCCACTACGTCACTTTCTAGGCTATTCCACGGCCCGACTACTCTATGACTAAGAAATACTTCCTAAAATCCCTTTGACATCGAGTCTTCAACTTCCAATGTGACCCTTGTTTCTGTGTCCCTTCTCTGTAACATCCCGTCTTTGTCCACTTGACTATTCCGCGCGGTATTTTATATGTCGTTTCTGTCTCCCCCGACCCTCCTGTCCTCAGTGTCGTCAGGCCGATTTCCCTCAACCTTTCTTCGTAGGGCAATTCCCGTAGCTCTGGGACTAGTCTTGTTGCAAACCTTTGCACTTCCTCTAATTTCTTGACGTGTTTGACTAGGTGTAGATTCCAAACTGGTGCTGCATACTCCAGTATGGGCCTGACGTAAATGGCATACAGAGTCTTGAACGAATCCTTACTGAGGTATCGGAACGCTATCCGTAGGTTTGCCAGGCGTCCGTATGCTGCAGCAGTTATCTGATTGATGTGCGCCTCAGGAGATATGCTCGGTGTTATACTCACCCCCAGATCTTTTTCCTTGAGTGAGGTTTGCAGTCTTTGGCCATCTAAACTATATTGTGTCTGCGGTCTTCTTTGCCCTTCCCCAATCTTCATGACTTTGCATTTGGCAGGGTTAAACTAAAGGAGCCAGTTGCTGGACCAGGCTTGTAGCCTGTCCAGGTCTCTTTGTAGTCCTGCCTGATCCTCATCCGATTTGATTCTTCTCATTAACTTCACATCATCTGCAAACAAGGACTCTTCTGAGTCTATCCCTTCCGTTATGTCGTTCACATATACCAAGAACAGCACAGGTCCTAGGACTGACCCCTGTGGAACCCCGCTTGTCACAGGCGCCCACTCTGACACCTCGTCACGTACCATGACTCGTTGGTGCCTCCCTGTCAGGTATTCTCTGATCCACTGCAGTGCCTTTCCTGTTATGTGTGCCTGATCCTCTAGCTTTTGTAGTAACCTCTTGTGAGGAACTGTGTCGAAGGCCTTCTTGCAGTCCAAAAAAATGCAGTCGATCCACCCCTCTCTCTCTTGTCTTGTGTGTGTGTGTGTGTGTGTGTGTGTGTGTGTGTGTGTTTATTCCGAATAGGTAAAATTTGCTGTTTTGGCTTAAATCGTAGGGCTCTTCTTGCCGAATAAGGCAAGCAAAAATTTGTGTATGCAATAATTTCGCAAAATTCATTCTGAACCTAACAAAAAAAAAGTATTTCGTTGTGTTTGTTTGTTATTAAATTATTGTAAACTTATCAAAATATATTTAGTTGGGTTAGGCTAAATTAAATTGCGCTAGTTATAATAAGGTTAGGTAAGTTTTCTAAGGTTCTTTTGATACAAAATTATTAATTTTTACATTAACATAAAGGAAAAAATATATCTTCAAGCGTATAACAGAAAATTTTAGAAAGCACTTAATTTTAAATGAGTTTTTTGCTAAATGACCAGTTTTTACTTATATGTCGTGCCGAATAAACAGAATTATTATTATTATTAAATATTTGCCGGTATTCTCCCGGCCCGGGCCTTTTCCAAGTGGTGGCCAGGCCTTGGCTCCCTCTTTAGGGAGAGTCTGAGACCTAAGTCTCCCATGGGAGGAGGCACAAGTACCTCCTCATCTTTGGGACCAACTGTCCCCAGGCCTAGCCACAAGCTAGGCCTCTCTGGTCTGCTATCCCCGCCCCAAGGGGACAAATGGGAATGACAGTCTTATGAGCTAAAGGCTCGGACTCAGGCACCTACCCTACCCTAGAAGGGCTGGGCATGGTGTCGATGAATAAACAGAACTTGGATCTTGGCTTAAATAGCAACGCTCATCTTGCCATATAGGACAAGCGAAAATTTGTGTATGCAATAATTTCGCCAAAATCATTCTGAACCTAATGAAAAAAATATATTTCACTGTGTTTGTTTAGTATTAAATTATTGTAAACAAATCTAAAATATATTTAGTTGAGTTAGGCTAAAATAAATTGTTCTTGTTATAATAAGGTTAGGTAAGTTTTCTAATATTCTTTTGATGCAAAATTAAAATTTTTTACATTAACATTAATGAAAAAAAATATATCTTTAAATGTATAAGAGAAAATTTTAGAGAAAGGATAGGTAAAACTGGTTAATTAGCAAGAACTCATTTAATGAGTTCTTGCTAATTGACCAGTTTTACCTATTCGGCACGACATACATATATATATAAATAAATATATATATATATATATATATATATATATAATATATATATATATATATATATATATATATATATATATATATACACACACACAAAACAACCACAGGGGAAGTTGACTGATAGCTCTAGGCCTTTCGTGTTGCAATCAACACATCATCAGGAGCTTGCCAAGTTGCAGAAAAGAGGATGAAATCCGAGCAAATACGTTCAGATTGAACGTTTTCGCTACGAGTGGCTTCATCAGTCCTCTAATAAATGTCCTGAACTGTACATAAGTGTCTTCCACACCTTGTCGGTATCACTATACCGGTACGGGTGGGGATTGAACTCGCGGCTAGTGAGTAGTAAAACTCCAGACATGCGCGTCTGCGATTTTTTTCTGAAACGTTTCGCCTTCACAGTATTCTTCATTCGAAGATACAGGTAATTAAAACTGGAGGCAGCAGAAGCAGTGGTGAGGCAGAGAGGAAGTATTTTTGTGGTGGTCAGTCCCTCAGTCTTGACATGCATCCAGCTTCATGGTCTTAATCAACATGTTGCAAATAAAGAAGCACAAGTGTTGTTGCACAAGTGTTGTTGCATCAGCTTGTCAGTACTGCATACCGTTATCATAATAACACCTTTACGACTGGTCTTAAATTCCATTCCAACTTTAGAAACTTAAAGATTTTCTTATCCCCTTTGTTATTTACCCACTTTCTTAACCTTAACATATTGGTCTATATAAGGTGGTCCCTCCTTTATTTTGAGACACCTGTAAATATCTTATCTTCTTACCGAAAAGATTAATTTATGCCAATCTTTGGACTGTTTTCTTCGAGAAGTGTTGGTAAGGCAGCTTGTAAAGTGCTCTGGGTAAGTCTCTCTGCCAGTAACCTCTGGTTTCCTTCATAACCCGTAGGTTGCTCCAGTGGTTGAGGGATTCGGCTTACAACTGGAGGATCTGGCATCAGTCCTGGGCGAGGTTGCTAACACCTGCTGCCCCTGTTTGTCTTGGCAGTAAACAGATACCTGGCTTATAGTCGACTGTTGCATGTAATGGCAGCTATGACTGGTGATAGGTTAAACTGTTACTAGTGACTTGACGGTGTCGAAGAGTTTTAATCTAGTGATGAAGAACATGTAAAACAAGGTTTCAGTGAGACAACCAGCTTCCTCAAGGCTTACATGAAGTCCTACACAGAGCGAAACAGTGTTCCAGTACGTTTCTTCTCTACAACACTACTGGAAACAACGCTGTTTGGGTTCAGTCTGCATAGTAGTTACAACATTTCTGCTCTTAGATCATCCTAGGGTTACCAGGTCTCACACAGTGAAAGCAACGAAGAGCGAGGCTGTTCTCGGTGCCTACCAGACAGACCTTTTACGACCTCTCTGGCAAGTGCCAGAAACAAGCCAGTGCCTGCAGGCACTATCCTGAGACATGATGGCACTCACGTCATCAGAAGTGCTGATGGAGAGAAAGAAATAGAGAGAGAGAGAGAAAGATAGGGAAAGAGAAAAAGACACTGGTGGTGTGTGTAGTGTGTATATTCATATATATCAACTCTGGATGTGTTGCAGAGGCTGGCCCAGGTTAGAGACGGTGGTAACTGAGGGTCCCAGACCAGGCACTCGGCTGCAGGAGGGGAGCTACGCTATGGTCATCGCTGTAGTGGCGGTGGGGGACCTCTCCACACCCATCACCTCCTGCAACATCAACTACAATGTGGAAGGTAAACCAAGAGGCCGTTTTAAGTGGCAAGGAGGAAGTTATATGACTTCTACTGGTTTAGTAATTCTTCGTGAATGTAATAATATTAATAATAATAATAATAATAATAATAATAATAATAATAATAATAATAATATCTTTATTTCAAAATAAATAGACGTGAAAACATAGTTCATAGTTCATATGTGTGTGTGTGTGTGTGTGTGTGTGTGTGTGTGTGTGTGTGTGTGTGTGTGTGTGTGTGTGTAATAATCTCACAGTCAGCAAGTTATATCAGAATATGAAAAACTACTACTGTGAGAAAATAGTGAACTTTCAAGCGCTTTCGTGATTTTTCACATTATCCAGAAACTAGAAATTACAGAGCAGCAGAAGGCTTATAAGGCTGAGGTAACACCTCACTGTCAACGCTCGACACCTCACCTGTCGTCCCTTTATGCTGATGTGGGTATGTTTATTATGACCTGATGAAGCTCGAACAGAATGAAAAGATGTCTTAATAAAAGTCTGGTCTGCCACATGTGTTTTCTCAATAATAAATATTCACATAACACACCTCTGAAAGTCTTCTACTACATTCCTGTCATCCTCGGCTACGTAAACACTTCTTATAACTCTTATAACTGGTAACATTCATTCCCCTTGTTTCCTTTCCAACTCTTTTCGTTCAACATCGCCGCTACTGACTCTTTAACTCTCATTCTCTCAAATACCCTCGATTTAATTTCTTTACCTCTTCCCCATTCTAACTTTGTGTATGTAAAGAGGTGGTTAGGTTAGGTAAGGTTCGTCAGGAAACAGGACAAGTGTTTCCTGACGCGGGTCTTAGATAATGACTCACCGTTGGAGCTTTTGGTCATCTGACCGAGGCCTTCTTCTGGCTTACCGGTCCATCCCTTTAAAAATTATGGTTATTATTAAAACAGTTTTTATTAACGAGGTGGTAGGGAAAAAAATACATGAACGGCTCCAAGGGGAAAACTGAAGAACTTTAAGACATTTCTCCCCTTCTCAGACGCTGCTAGACCTCACAACTTAACCGAAGGTGTGGTGACTGAGGCAGCGAGCCAACAAGATGATATAGTGATACGTGATATATGGTGATGGAGCAGGTTTTGGATATTTCTCTATAGATTTTAAACCCACTCGTAAACTCAGTGCCATCATTACGTATCTTTGAAAAGAAAGGGAAATTGCCTCCATAATAAATTTCACTTTTTTTGAGCGTTTAACGTTATTTCTCGTAGGATTAGTTGCATTTCACGGTTGATTATTCAGCGGTGAGTGAATGGTGAAGGATCATTACACCACCGACCAGTGAAGAAGCGGGACCAGGAGCTATGACTCGACCCCTGCAACCACAACTAGGTGAGTACACCCAAGTGTGTCCATGCAGGATGTTGGTGATCCCTGGCGTGTAGTGTTGCTCCAGCTGAGTTAAGTTCCAAAGTTAGGAAGAATGTCTCACGTCCTGAGACAACACAGGAAATGGGGTATCGTCGGTGCTTTCTAGAAAAAAATTAAGACAGAGGAAGGTGTCACATTGTCATATTGGGCGTTGATTATGTCTATTCACGTGTATGGACTCAATTGTTGCCTAATGGAATCAAATTTTTTATGTAAGTTTGATTGAGAGACTAAACATGGAGATTCCAGCTAAACCAGTAAGGTTCACATACCCCCACAGGAGTGGGGGGTTAATTAGGTATGATACGAGGAAGGGGAGGGTGGCTTTAATTATACAGATCAGGAGTCCTTGAGTATTTACAAGACAATACTTCGAAGTGCAGCTTCCATGACCCACGTGTAGTCGATATCACTAATACTGACCCCAGCACTAACACTGACCCCAGTACTAACACTGACCTCAGCACTAACACTGACCTCAGCACTAACAATGACCCCAGTACTAACACTGACCCCAGCACTAACACTGACCCCAGTACTAACACTGACCTCAGTACTAACACTGACCTCAGCACTAACAATGACCCCAGTACTAACACTGACCTCAGCACTAACACTGACCCCAGTACTAACACTGACCCCAGTACTAACACTGACCACAGTACTAACATTGACCACAGCACTAACACTGACCACAGCACTAACACTGACCCCAGTACTAACACTGACCCTAGTACTAACACTGACCCCAGCACTAACACTGAACCCAGTACTAACACTGACCCCAGCACTAACACTGACCCCAGCACTAACACTGACCACAGCACTAACACTGACCCTAGTAATAACACTGACCACAGTACTAACACTGACCCCAGTACTAACACTGACCCCAGTACTAACACTGACCCCAGTACTAACACTGACCCCAGTACTAACACTGACACCAGTACTAACACTGACCTGAGCACTAACACTGACCCCACCACTAACACTGACCCCACCACTAACACTGACCCCACCAGTAACACTGACCCCACCACTAACACTAGTTAGCACTCAACAGTTCGCAAGTGTCCCGAGCTGGTTGGAGGTCCAGGACTGGAGGTACGATGCACGGCAGGACGTGCCTGGGGGTCCCACTGCATCTGGAGGTGTTCTGCCAATCTTATCCTGCAGGGAGCGTCTTCCACCACCTGCATCGCCCACCACCGCCCCCACTGGTCACACCCACCTCCCACCTGCACAGGTATCCCATCTTTCATCGTTTTATTAAATAATCCAGGGTACATGCGCAGTGTGTGGCTGTTACATAGTGTGTAGTGTGTGATAGTTACACAGTGGGAACACAAGCTGACTACTGTTTACCCGTCATATTCCATCACATAGGATTGAGCTCATGCATGAAATACTTCGAACATTAAAATGGTATAAAATACCGACAGATTGTTAGGTAAGACACATATGCAACAGTTAGGTATCTTTATTTCGAAACGTTTCGCCTACACAGTAGGCTTCTTCAGTCGAGTACAGAAAAGTTGTAATCAGACGATGTAATCAGTCCATCACCCTTAAAGTTTTGAGGTGGTCAGTCCCTCAGTCTGGGGAAGAGCATTGTTCCATAGAATGATGTGATGGACTGATTACATCGTCTTCAAGTATCTTCTGCTTCTATCAACTTTTCTGTACTCGACTGAAGAAGCCTACTGTGTAGGCGAAACGTTTCGAAATAAAGATACCTAACTGTTGCATATGTGTCTTACCTAACAACATGAAATACTTCCCTGTGTCAACCTGAGCTGCGAGTTTTAAGGAAGATAATACAGATATCGTCAAGCATTTCACAGAGAATTCAGTAGCTACAGCAGCATTACAAATTACGTTACAGCAGAGAGGTACCATTGTATGTGTACGTGTTAAGAACATAGCTAGACACTGAGTAACATTTCTTGCTCTGTGATTTAGCTCTGTATCCTTCATTAGGTTCATATATTTATTTTGATAATTTCACAGTCAAGCTAAAGTATATGAAAGAAAAAACACTCAACAAAGAGTTTGGTGACTGTTGCGTCATGTCACCAGTACGCTCGAACTGGAATGAACTCATCCTGTGTGAGGTTCAATGAAGGTCAGGAATCACTGGCGAAGTAGTGATACTGGTTCCAGATCTTGCTGTATTGCGTTTTTAATTACACACACACACACGCGCGCACGCACACACTGACACACATACACACATACACACATACACACTAACCCTGCAAGGAGGCAGAGGAGAGGTTTGTTCCCATGGGAAGCAGAAATAATGGGAAGAACAGAACGAGTCCTTGGTTCACCCAAAGGTGTAGGGAGGCAAAAACTAGGTGTACTAGAAAATGGAAAAGGTACAGAAGACAGAGAACTCAGGAAAATAAAGAGATTAGCCGAAGAGCCAGAAACGAATATGCACAGATAAGAAGGGAGGCTCAGCGACAATATGAAAATGACAGCATCGAAAGTCAAGACTGACCCGAAGCTGTTGTACAGCCACATCAGGAGGAAAACAACAGTCAAGGACCAGGTAATCACACTGAGGAAGGGTGATGGGGATTTCACAAGAAACGACCGAGAGGTATGTCAGGAGCTCAACACGAGATTTAAAGAAGTATTTACAGTGGAAACCAGTTGGACTCCAGGAAATCAGAACAGGGGGGTACACCAGCAAGTGCTGGATGAGGTACATATAACCAAGAAGGAGGTGAAGAAGCTGCTATGCGAACTTGACACCTCAAAGGCGGTGGGACCAGACAACATCTCTCTGTGGGTCCTTAAAGAGGGAGCAGAGATTTTGTGTGTGCCATTAACAAAGATCTTCAACACATCATTTGAAACTGGGCAACTCCCCGAGGTATGGAAGATGGCAAATGTAGTCCCAATTTTTAAAAAGGGAGACAGACATGAGGCACTAAACTACAGACCTGCATCACTAACGTGTATAGTATGCAAGGTCATGGAGAAGATCATCAGGAGGAGAGTGGTGGAGCACCTGGAAAGAAACAAGTGTATAATTGACAACCAGCACGGTTTCAGGGAAGGAAAATCCTGTGTCACAAACATACTAGAGTTTTATGACAAGGTGACAGAAGTAAGACAAGAGAGAGAGGGGTGGATCGACTGCATTTTTTTGGACTGCAAGAAGGCCTTCGACACAGTTCCTCACAAGAGGTTACTGCAAAAGCTAGAGGATCAGGCACACATAACAGGAAAGGCACTGCAGTGGATCAGAGAATACCTGACAGGGAGGCAACAACGAGTCATGGTACGTGACGAGGTGTCAGAGTGGGCGCCTGTGACAAGCGGGGTTCCTCAGGGGTCAGTCCTAGAACCTGTGCTGTTCTTGGTATATGTGAACGACATAACGGAAGGGATAGACTCACAAGTGTCCTTGTTTGCAGATGATGTGAAGTTAATGAGAAGAATCAAATCGGATGAGGATCAGGCAGGACTACAAAGTGACCTGGACAGGCTACAAGCCTGGTCCAGCAACTGGCTCCTCGAGTTTAACCCTACCAAGTGCAAAGTCATAAAGATTGGGGAAGGGCAAAGAAGACCGCAGACACAATATAGTTTAGATGGCCAAAGACTGCAAACCACACTCAAGGAAAAAGATCTGGGGGCGAGTATAACACCGAGCATATCTCCTGAGGCGCACATCAATCAGATAACTGCTGCAGCATACGGGCGCCTGGCAAACCTACAGATAGCGTTCCGATGCCTCAGTAAGGATTCATTCAAGACTCTGTATACCATTTACGTCAGGCCCATACTGGAGTATGCAGCACCAGTTTGGAATCCACACCTAGTCAAGCAACAAGACTAGTCCCAGAGCTACGGGGATTGTCCTACGAAGAAAGGTTGAGGGAAATCGGCCTGACGACACTGGAGGACAGGAGGGCCAGGGGAGACATGATAACGATATATAAAATACTGCGCGGAATAGACAAGGTGGACAAAGACGGGATGTTCCAGAGAAGGGACACAGACACAAGAGGTCACAATTGGAAGTTGAAGACTCAGTTGAATCAAAGGGATGTTAGGAAGTATTTCTTTAGTCATAGAGTAGTCAGGCCGTGGAATAGCCTAGAAAGTGACGTAGTGAGGCGGGAACCATACATAGTTTTAAGGCAGGTATGATAAAGCTCATGGGGCAGGGAGAGAGAGGACCTAGTAGCAATCAGCGAAGAGGCGGGGCCAGGAGCTATGACTCGACCCCTGCAACCACAAATAGGTGAGTACACACACACACACACACACACACACACACACACACACACACACACACACACATATATATATATATATATATATATATATATATATATATATATATATATATATATATATATAATATATATATATATATATATATATATATATATTATATGTCGTGCCGAATAGGCAGAACTTGCGATCTTGGCTTAAATAGCAACGCTCATCTTGCCATATAGGACAAGTGAAAATTTGTGTATGCAATAATTTCGCCAAAATCATTCTGAACCTAACGAAAAAAATATATTTCACTGTGTTTGTTTAGTATTAAATTACTGTAAACAAATCTAAAATATATTTAGTTGGGTTAGGCTAAAATAAATTGCTCTTGTTATAATAAGGTTAGGTAAGTTTTCTAAGTTCCTTTTGGTGCAAAATTCTAAATTTTTACATCAACATTAATGAAAAAAATATATCTTTAAACGTATAAGAGAAAATTTTAGAAAGGACTTAATTTTAAATGAGTTCTTGCTAATTGACCAGTTTTACATATTCGGCACGACATATTAGTCCTTTCTAAAATTTTCTCTTATACGTTTAAAGATATTTTTTTTCATTAATGTTAATGCAAAAATTTTTAATTTTGCACCAAAAGAATCTTAGAAAGCTTACCTAACCTTATTATAACAAGAACAATTAATTAAGCCTAACCCAACTATATATATATTTTAGATTTGTTTACAATAATTTAATACTAAACAAATACAGTGAACTATATTTTTTTCGTTAGGTTCAGAATGATTTTGGCGAAATTATTGCATACACAAATTTTCACTTGTCCTATATAGCAAGATGAACGTTGCTATTTAAGCCAAGATCGCAAAATCTGCCTATTCGGCACGACATATATATATATATATATTATATATATATTATAATATATATATATATATAATATAAATTGATAGGAAGGTTGAGCTGAAACGTGGAGGTGAACATGGAGCGTCATGTCAGTGTGTGGGAAGACAATGTCAGGTAGTGAGAGTGATGACAGGTCTTGAAATAAAACTTCACAAACGCTTCTAACAGGATAAACTTTTATTTGACAGTGATTCACTCATAATGGAACTTTATTGAGTAGTCAATAAATGTCTCCACTGTGGGTGAGATACAAAGAACAGCAAAGATTTTCCTACTTCAAGTTTCTATAACATTGTCATTTGTCGGGTTAGATACATCACTGAGTGATGATTTAACATGTCCATCTGTGTCCATACATACAATGTTTATCCTAGAACTCACAACGTTACGTCTTCACATTCATACTTTTACACTCACTAAATTCAGGTTAGTCTCGACCTTGTATTTATTTTTGCCTTTGAATGACAGAGCCGCCATCAGCACCTCCTTCAGGAAGGAAAAGAGGCTGCAGCTCCCTACCAGAGGTACACGGAGGCCGCTACGTGTGTGAGGCACCAGGAGGCTTTCCCAGGCTACCTCCTGTCCTCAAGGACGGCCCCGGCAGCAAAACCATCAGGAGGGACGTCGCTTCCTCTGGGCACCACCCGCCAGGAACAGTTTGTAAGGTGGAATGTGGGCCAGGATGGGTGATTGGGGCGTCGCAGCGAGATAGGAACCACCTGACCTGCACCTCTGGAAGCCTGTGGAACCACCGGCCGCCCACCTGTCTCCGTCAGGTAGGTAATGAATATCTGAAAGAAACATGTGAAACGCTGGAGGCTCGAACCTTCGACCTTCGTGACGGGAGGAGTGTCTCGACTTGGCCATAGCGTCGAGTACAGTGAACGTCTACAAGTGTGGGTGTGGTTACTATTAGCTGTATTTTGGGTTATTGAAGGCTACATTTCGTCTGTACTCTAATCTTGGGAATACATACTTTAACCTCTAAAACGGAAATTATAGTAAATTATAAGTACATATACACTGAGTGATACATGTACACTGAGTAATACATACACGTATCATGTACTAGGATATATATATAGCCCTCGGTGTCTTATACATCAATATAAATCTTAATCTGTATATAAACTGATATATTCAATAATAACCCACATGAAGAGAGAAACACAAGAGATTGTTTGGTATGTATATTTCGACCCCCTTCTGGGATCCTCTTCAGCAGATACACAAGCGAAAAGAGAACATGAATTTATAAGGAGTAGGGAGTGTCAGGTGAGCTCACAGGAGGACGGGTCAAGGAAGTAATAAACGAAGAAACAGGACCTGCAGAGAAGCTAAAAATTTGGGTAGGAAGTTTCTTTGTGCTATGTGATTCCTGTTCTTGTGCTGTCGTTCTGTGTTAGGGTGGACGCTGGAATGTACTTCGTGACGCGTCCTCTCACGAGCTGACCTGACACTCCCTACCTCCAGCACGGTGAGAGGTGCAGCTTTTCCTATGAATTCATGTTCTCTTTTCACTTGTATATCTGCTGAAGAGGATCCCAGAAGAGGGTCGAAATATACAGATGAATCAATCTCCTGTGTTTCTGTCTCAATGTGAGTTATTACCGAGCATTGGCAAGTGTTCATTACATTTTAGTTATATATATATATATATATATATATATATATATATATATATATATATATATTATATATATATATATATATATATGCAAGGAATTCGCGAGAGCAGACGAAATATACACAAACACTGATCTCTGGCTGAAGGAGACTCGAACCTACGACAAGGTACACAGTGCTTTACCAATCTACCCACACTGTCCAGTGTGGGTAGATTGGTAAAGCACTGCGTACCTTGTCCTCAGGTTCGTAGGTTCGAGTCTCCTTCAGCCAGAGATCAGTGTATATATATATATATATATATATATATATATTATATATATATATATATACACATACATACATACATACAGTGAGAGGCTAAGAAACCATATATAAGATAAGTTTTATTCGAGAAATCCACAATTGACTTTAGATTCATTGTTATAAGACTGACGCAGCCAAGTTGATAAAAATTATAACAGAGTGTTTCTACATTGTGGCTTATCAAGCCACAATGTGTGTGTTTCTACGGAACATTATTCCAGGGGCTTATCAAGTCAAGAAAAGGTACAAGACGAAAAATTTCTTTTTTTGGGGTCCCCCCGACTGTAATTATCCTAAAAACATTATCCCCAATAAAAGGCGGAAAAGGGAAAAAATTTTTCCCGGGGAAATATTAAAGCAAAAAGAGCTACCCCATAAAGTTACTGTCAAGAGCATTGGCATTAGTAAATCTTTGAAAACGATCAATGGGTCATAAAGGCTTGTGTAAAGGGACTTTTACCAAACAAAGGATACCTTTTCACAAACCACAAAGCTTCACAGAGGATGCCCCCCCGGGACGGCTTTGGGGGTTGGGTTGTTAATGGTTTTTTAATAGCCCCCTCGAATCGGGGGTTTTTAAGGGGGCCTTTCACCTTAATCATAATTTAAATATAAAAATTTTTTCACACCCGAGTGAATACAGGGTGCTACATCCTGCCTGCCGTTTTGCCACCACGTCATAGGTGAGTGTACAGGGTTGTGCGCAAAACTGGGGTGTTTTGAAAAAATTAGGGAATGTTGAAAGACTCACACCTGGTTTTTTAAACCCCGGGATCTACACCCGACCCAAAAACCGAGATCCCTACCCGGTTCTAGCCCCGAGATTCACACCTGGGTTTTCCCCCCAGAGGTTTATACCTGGTTCTTAACCAAGATTACAACCTGGTTCCACCCAGGACCATACCGGTTTTTCACCCCGAGGTTCATACCCGGTTTCTACCCCAAAAATCCACACCCGGTTTTACCCAGAGTTCCACACCTGGTCTCACCCGGAAAACCACCGGTTCCACCCAGAGATCCCACCTGGTTTCACCCGAGATTCACTGGTTTTCCCCCCAAAGTTTCCCCACCTGGTTCCCACCCCTGATCCCCACCTGGTTCCCACCAAATCCCCACCCGGTTTCACCCAAAAAATCCACTCGGTTCCACCCCCAGATTACACCCGGTTCTCACCCGAATTCAACCTGGTTCTCCCCAGGATTCACACCTGTTTTTCCCCCCAAAGATCCAACCTGGGTTTTCCCCACAGAGATCCCCACCCGGGTTTCCCCCCCATAGATCCACACCGGTTTCACCCAGAGACCACACCAGGTTCCCACCCCCAAATCCACACCTGGTTCCCACCCCGGGTCCACACCTGGGTTCCCCCCCGAGATCCACACCTGGTTCCCCCCCAAGGAACCCACTGGTTCCTTCCCAAATCCAACCGGTTTTCCCCCCCCAGAGATCCAACCTGGTTCCCACCCCGAGGCCCAAACCCTTTCCCCCCCAAGATCCAACCCGTTCCCGCCCAGAATCCCCACTGGTTCCCACCCCCAGAGACCCACCCCCCGGTTCCCCCCCAAAAGATCCCCCCTGGTTCCCACCCCGCTCCCCCATCTGGTTCCCCCCCCCCCAAGATCCACACCTGGTTCTCACCCAAAAGATCCAATCCCGGTTTTTTCACCCGAGATCTACACCTGGTTCTACCCAAGATTCACACCGGTTCTCACCCAGAGATCCACACCTGGGCTCACCCAAAATCCAATCCCGGTTTTTCACCCAGAGTTTAACTGGTTCCACCCAGAGATTTACACCTGTTCCACCCAAATTCCCCCCTGGTTTCCCCAAAGTCCAACCTGGGCTCACCCAGAGCCCCACCGGTTTCCCCCAGGATCCACATGGTTTCCCCCCAGAGACCACACCTGGTTCCCCCCAAAATCCACACCCGGTTCCCACCAGAGGACACCCGGGTTTCCCCCCCAGAGAACCACACCTTTCCCCCAAAAGAGATCCCCCCACCTGGCTCCCCCCCAGAGATCCACACTGGTTTTCCCCAAAAACCACTCCCGGGTTTTACCCCCAGTTACACCGGTTCTCACCCAGAGATTCACACCTGGTTCTCACCCAGAGATTCACACCTGGTTCTCACCCAAAGATCCACACCTGGTTCCCACCCAGAGATCCACACCTGGTTCCCACCCAGAGATCCACACCTGGTTCCCACCCAGAGATCCACACCTGGTTCCCACCCAGAGATCCACACCTGGTTCCCACCCAGAGATCCACCCCTGGGTTCTCACCAAGTCCAACTTGGTTCCCACCCAAAGAACCACACCTGGTTCCCACCAAAGATCACACCGGTTCCCACCCAAAGATCCACACCTGGTTCTCACCCAAAGATCCACACCTTGTTCCCACCCAGAGATCCACACCTGGTTCCCACCCAGAGATCCACACCTGGTTCCCACCCAAAGATCCACACCTGGTTCCCACCCAAAGATCCACACCTGGTTCTCACCCAAAGATCCACACCTGGTTCCCACCCAAAGATCCACACCTGGTTCCCACCCAAAGATCCACACCTGGTTCTCACCCAAAGATCCACACCTGGTTCCCACCCAAAGATCCACACCTGGTTCCCACCCAAAGATCCATACCTGCTCACCCTTTTCGTCCCAGTGTTTCACACTTGTCGACCCATTTATCTTACCACACAAAACAAGTCTCTCTCTCTCTCTCTCTCTCTCTCTCTCTCTCTCTCTCCTCTCTCTCTCTCTCTCTCTCTCTCTTTTCTCTCTCTCTCCCTCAAACACACAACTCTAATCTTTTCTTTGATGTGTATTTTCAAAGTTTTTTTTAATTGATTTTTATTTTTTTTTTTTACTATTTGAGTCATTTTTCTCGAATGCTGAGAATTTTCTTGTGCTCATTTCTGTAACTTGCTTGCCTATTATTATTATTATTATTATTATTATTATTATTATTATTATTATTATTATTATTATTATTATTATTATTATTATTTATTATTGCAGGTAGCTCCAGCTCTTGGTCCTGGGGAGTGTGAAAACACCTCTCTCAGTCTGCCCAACTCGCCCCTCTCCCTGATGCCCCTACCCAGGTTCACCACCGGCAGTGGGCACCTTGCCCACGTCACCTGCTTGCTGGAGGGGCGGTCCCAGACCCACTACTCTAGAACCTGTACTGCCACAGACCCAGAGCTCGAGACCTCGACCGTCTGCCAGTACACTATCACGCTCACTGGTGAGGGGTATATCTCTCTATCTGTCTATCTATAACTCTATCGCTCTCTATATATCTGTGTGAGTGCCTGAGAGATGGAACCAGGAGCTGAAACTCGACCCCTGTAACTACAATTAGGCGAGTGCATATGAGTGAGTACATTAAACATCGTACATCGTGGTGAGCACATCTAAGGGAGTACATTTAGGTAGGTACACCTGAGTACATGTAAGTGAGTACATCCAGAAGAGTACATGCATCTTAAAAAACATCACCTTAGAGTGAACTAGCGAGGAATCTCCCCAGCACTACACCTCCCCAGCCCTATATCTCCCCAGCACTACACCTCCCCAGCACTGAACCTCGCCAGGACTGCACCTCCACAGCACTGCACCTCTACATCAGTGCACCTCCACAGCACTGCACCTCTACATCAGTGCACCTCCACAGCACTGCACCTCCACAGCAGTGCACCTCCCCAGCACTACACCCCCATAGTAGTTCACCTCCACAGCACTGGCTATAGCACAGGATGATATCATTGCTAGAAGCTACGGTAACTCACTGAATAGTTATGCTAAGAGCAAATTAGTGTAGTTGGCTGATGCTCCTGATATTACTTCTTGGCTGGAATATAACAGTTTGTTGAGTGTTGATGTCGAGAGGGAGGCAGTGATTTCTTGCATTGAGCAGGGAGGTATAATATCTGTTGAGGAGTGAGGAAGAGCCATATGCGAGTGTGGGGGAGGTACACGAAGCAGTGGATATAATGAAATGGGATAAAGCAACTGGGCTAGATGGAACCAAGAAAGAAATGCTAAAAGCAAGTGGGGATATAGTTTTGGAGTGGTTGATGTTTTTGTTCGGTATATACTTGAAAGGGGAGGAAGATACCTAGGGATTGACAGAGATCATGTAGAGTTCCTTTTATATAAGGAAAAAGAGGGATAAATTAGAGTGTAAAACTTACAGAGGGAATAAGCCTGTCGAGTTTACCAGGTAAAGTGTATGGTAGAGTTATTATTGAAAAAAATACGGGTAAGATTAAGAGTAAGACTGCAGCGGAATAAGGTGATTTTAAGAAGGGTTGAGGATGCGTTCACGTTGAAGTATATTAGTCAACAAAACTCACATTAAATGTGATGAACTTTTCATTGCACTTATGGATTTAGAAAAGGTACGTAACAGAGTGGATAGGCGAGCAATGTGACAGATGTTGCAAATGAAACTGGTAGATAGGTTACTTAAAGCAGTTAGGAGTTTTTACGAAGATAGTGAGGCTCAGGAGAGGATGTGTAGGACAGAGGGAGATTATTTTCCAGTAAAAATAGGTCTTAGAGAGGGATGTGTGATGCCATCATGAATGGAGGAATGTTGAGGAGAGTTGCCACAGTCATTGTTTACTTAATGTAGACGAATTTGGGAGGGAATATAAAAGGCGGAAATTAAAAACGGATATAGGAAAGAGCAAGGTGACTCGAGCCAACGAACCCTGTGACAAGGTACACATTACAATACACACCATCCCACACATAGATATATAGACATATAGATATATGCTATATGCAAAACAAGTCACTTGGGGATGAAAGAGAAATAGCTCTAGGCCTTTCACAATGTCGCCAGTGCCTTGTTAGGAGCTACGCAGTGTTCAAATAGACAAGTAGAGTGGAACAAACCTAGAGGAAGGATGCCGTGGTGAGCACAGCCATATCTTCACTCTAAGAGGACTCTGTAGGAGGGTTGGGGGTTGTTGACATTGCTGTGCTCACTAGGACTTCCTTCTTCTGTGTTTTGTCCACCCACTTGGCTACTGCAACATTTCATGGTGCCTGACGAGGCACTCGCAACAGTGTGAAAGCCCTAGAGCTAGTTTTTTCATCTTCTCTGGCTTGATTTGCAATGATTTTATCTCTTGTTCGCAGTTGTCTTGCGCATACATAAATTGGCTACGAGGAAATACTTTGAGATTTCTCCACTGTGTAGTTATTGGTTGTAGAGGTGATTGTTAGAAGGTGGTTGATAGGGGCTAGTAATGGTTAGTGGTTGTCAGAGGGTATGGTTGAGGAGGTAGAGGGTGACAGAGTGTGTTTACGTCTTCTTGGTGGCTTCTCACCATCTGGAAGTCAGGAAGTGAGTCAACGCTGAATCACAACACCAGTATAAAGCTGTGTGTTTGTGTTGTGTGTGTGTGTGTGTGTGTGTGTGTGTGTGTGTGTGTGTGTGTGTGTGTGTGTGTGTGTGTGTGTGTGTGTGTGTGTGTGTGTGTGTGTGTGTGGGTTTTCTTCTTAGTTTCTTCCCCCCTGCCATACCCATTCTTAAAACTATATATAAAATCAACCTTCGCTATTTCTTCATGAACAGTGGAAACGGTCAATAGCCAGTTATATCAGTCGTTATCAGGAATGGTTAATACAACTGACGGTTAACCATTGCTGATAATCGTCCAAGTCACTCCAGGTCCTCCACGACCAAGCACTACGAGGAGTCTCCATGTTAATCTAGCATCTATTAGATTACTCCTTCAATTCATCATATAGGAAATCGTCTGGTACTCGCCTGTATGTGGTTGCAGGTGTCGAGTCACAACTCCTGGTGTAAGGGTAATTTTTCAGGGCATCTAAGCTGAATACTTCAACCAGCCTGGGATACTGACATCTGGGTTGAAATCCCACCCGTGGGCTGTGAGATGTAATGTTTGTAAATATACTGTATGATTGTGGTGTTTGAGCACATACTGACTCACAGTGTTCCACTCTCTTACTCGTGAGACTGAATATGTATATTTCTTGATGTGTTTGTGACTCAGCTGGGTTTTAGTTTCCATGTATGTCCTGGTGCAAATGTTTTACTGCATGAGAAACAGCCTCTCCATATCCACACTATTAATGCTTCTGAGAATCTTATGTGTTGTAATATGTTGTCTTTGTGTTTGCAGTTTCCCGGGCTTCAGTTTCCAGGTCTTACCTCGCCTCAAGTTTTTTTTAGTACACCTCTTTTGCTTATTCTTCACTTTCCAGTTGTGTTCCCGTGTTCCAGCTCACCTTGCAGAAAGACTTTATTTTTCACTTTTTTTGTCTCTTGTATATTCTGATAATGTTTCGCCTGAGATTTTTTTAGCTCTGTTAGAGCGAGATCTTGAAGAGTTTCTCCTAAGGTTTTTAATCCCAGAGACTAACATGGTAGCCAACAACTTGGCTTTCTTGAGTCTTCATCCCTGTTTGTACTCGCCCAGTTGTGTTTTGCAGTTGTGGTTTACAGCTCTTGTAATAATATTTTCAAATAATAATATATATTTAATGATTATTTCTTAGTGCTAATATGACAGTAGCTACTGTATTATTGTATTATTATTTTTGTATATTTTTAGCAGCATCTATTGTCATTTGTATAGAAATGATCACTATATATTATTACTTCTATCTATACCTTGCTTCTTCGTTCTTGCCTGTATGTAACTACAGGACAAAAGCTATGCTTCTGGTATCTCATCTTCGTCATTTAACTTTCAAAGTTCTTCTCATATTATTAAATTTCCGGTGGTTATAGTGCCTACTATGTCACTCTCTTGGATCACGGTCATGTGTTGTCACTAATTTGTCAAGAAACATTTTTGGAACCTCTTACTTCTTCCTTTCTTTACGACCGTGGTCTTTTGTTTTCCTGGGTGAAGATGCATACGGGTGTGTAAATACAAAGTTTTAATAGTTTTTTTTAATTTCAGGTGGAACAGTTGTTTCTGCTGATGTCTCCCCGAGCACACCTGACGATCCCAACAGATATGAGCTCTCGGAGGCGGCCAATGGAAGTGCTGAAGGTGGTGATACCACCGCCAACACCACCAGCACCACCAGCACCACCAGCATTCACCACACGCACAACAAACTTCCTGTTGAAGGTACATTCCCTGGGAAGTCTCACACCACGTCCCTAGAGAGCGGAGGCAAGGACGACCGAGATGACTTTTATGATGTAAGAGAGACTGATGATAATGGCAACGGAGAGTTGTATTATTATTATGATGCCAGTGAGAGGGATCTCGAGGACGACTTCGAGTTGGACGATGACGACAACAACGAAGACGACCATGACGCAGCGTTGCCAGAGACGCGAACTGGCGATAAATCAGCGGAGGCAGGACGAAGAAAAACTCTCGCCGATACTGTTGATGGTAACAGACTCGATGCTGCGGAAGGCACTGGGAACACGCACAGGGTAAATGATCTTGAAACTAGTGAGGGAGTCACGACTTTGTCAACACCAGGTAGCCACGATCACCTCCCACGCGCACGTCGAATCGAAAGTGGATCCCATTACGACCATTTCAACAACGTCATTTCCATGTCCAAAAATATGGAGGACACATCTGGCTCACCAAAAAAAGTCCAAGGAAAAATTAGAGATGAAATAAGAGTTCGCAGTCAAGATTATTCAGGAGACAGACCGGAAGAACGAAGAGGAAATGAGAAGACACAGCACCAGACTAGCACTCAAACAAGATTAAGCAGGGTCCAACAAGTGCCTCTAGATAGCGATGCTGTGGCAGCCAAAGTCCCGGGGACCCAGATGAGACCAGGGAAATATAATGAGAGTAACTACGGTTTCAAAACCAGTCATGAAGGCAGTTTCAGTAAATCTGGGACTGAAGGAGCTGAAGTGCAGAAGCAAGCTAAGAAAACACTAGAGTCTGGTCCACGTAGACCTGACATGACAGACGACAGAACGAAGAGGAAAGAAATGAAAGAGGATCGAAAATTGAGAGGTTATGTAGCGAGACAAGACATAAACAGAGGAACGGAGGAACTTGAAGAACGCAATGGCGAAACGAGAATTGCAGATGAGGGTAGTAGCACTAGAGACACAGAGGAGGTAGCAGGGAGCCAGCCAGCGACGATGGAGGCCGTAGTGACGATGAAGATGATGGTGCAAGAGTGCAGCGTCGTGGAGGAGGTGTCACAGGTGCTGCAAAATGCACTACTTCTTCAGAACACCTGTAAGGAGCTCACCTGTCACCACCCACACACCACCTGCACCCACACGTGAGTTGAAATCTTACAGATCACTGCGATATAGATGGAGATCTTGCTGTGAACAAGGTTTGTTAGTGAATGATTACCTCCTGGAACCAGGTGTAACCCTGGCCAAGGAGTTAACTGTAATGTTTTTCCCACCTGGAACAGATCAAGAGGCAGCGGTACAGTGGACGTAGTGTGGGCAGTGGGTGGTGTGTACGAGACCTTGAACACTGAAGATGGTGACTACCATGTACCTGAAGTGGAGACCGGTATAGCATCTGTGCTAGTAAGTAGACCAAGCCACTTTCTCTCTCTACCACTCTCTCTCTCTCTCTCTCTCTCTCTCTCTCTGTAGGTAGACACACGAACTTGGTCCACTTACAATTACATTAAGATTTTTCCCCTAAGGACGACATTATTGGACATCCCGATGTCTCCTCTTCTTCCCTCCTTATACTTCATATCGCCATAAAAAAAAACGATTTTTTCAATTATCTTTTCTCATTTATATTCCATTTAAAATTCTTTACAATTTTGTGTAGAAAAACAAACTTAACTTTTATTTTTTTAAGAAAATCCAATTTGATAAAATTGCTTTAAAAATTTTTTTTACAAAAACCAACATCAGCGCAAAAATATTCTTAAAATTCACTAGCGTTTGAAGTCGATCAGAAGAACCATTCTTTAGTTCTTACATAGGAAACAGTTTAATAAAATTGGCAAATTGAAATTTATAGAGTTCAAAGTGAATGCCAAGTTTTCTTTAAATAAAACCCAGTGAAAGTTTGAAGCCTATCAGACAAGGCGTTCTCCAGCAAATGATCAGATTCCAACGATCCCTTATTTTTAACAATTCCAGTGAAACTGTTAAAATTTGCAATTGCTCATGTTAAACTTATGCGTTGTAGTCGTTGTAAGCCTTCCCACAGAAACCATTGTTGCATGTTGCAGGAGTCCACGCAGCAGGTGTTGAGATCGTCACACTTGAGGAGGACCTTGGAGGCCCTGGGTGCCACCCTCGATCCCTCCTCCTTCAACCTGACTCAACTCGACTTGGTGTGTCGCCAGCCAGGCCATGGACTCGACTCACACACCAGCCGCTGTGGTAGGTCGAGAGAGAGAGAGAGAGAGAGAGAGAGAGAGAGAGAGAGAGAGAGAGAGAGAGAGAGAGAGAGAGAGAGAGAGAGAGAGAGAGAGAGAGAGAGAGAGAGAGAGAGAGAGAGTATCTCTTATAAGTGACATCAGTGATGACTTGCCTACTTGTTGTCACACGTGACGTTACTGTTTCACTCCACCCACCTGTTTGTTACATGATGACCACCTGAACAATCAAGTTGTTGCTACCCTTGGTCCACAGGGTTACACTGCTATCCAGTTTCCTCTTGAAACGTTCTTCCTTTGTTCTGGCAAGTCTCCTCGCACCGCTGACAACAGGTTACAGCGTCTTGGGCTACGGATGTTAGACACAATACTCTCTCATTGCTACCATGGCATCTCTGCTGTTCATCAAGTTTATTTTACACTTCTTTCATCATCTCTCACCCTGGTTACCTCTTATGGTAGCGTATCGGCTCTGCTCCTGGCCCACGAATATTTTCCATGTATATACTGTGAGATATTGTGGGTTTTTTTTCCCTCTCTCAGTTGCGGAGACCACTTAAGGTGCCTTGGTTTCCAGTAGTTCCACAGGTTATGGGAATGATATTCGACTGGTTACCTGGAGTATACCTGGTTAAAGATATCTGTGTTTTCTTTCTTTGATTCCCATGACTTTGAACAAGCCATTGCTAGTATGTCCAAGCACTCGGCTCCAGATTCACACTCATGGAACTGCATAGTCACCAAAATCTGAAAAAAAATTATCACATATAATTACATAAACAAAAAAAGCGGATGATTTGGAAAAGTTAACATTGCACGGAAGCTGTTCTTTCTGGACCTCCTTTCTGGTGTGTAGTCGCTGACAGTCGTTCTTCGTAGTTTATATTTATGAGTTGTGACTTTGAGTGGTATGAGAAAAGACGAATTAATGAGTTCTTCTGTGGCTTCGGTATGAAGCAGTCGGGGCACTGTTGGTGTCAGTGATACAACAGTCGGGTCACTGTTGGTGTCAGTGATACAACAGTCGGGGCACTGTTGGTGTCAGTGATACAACAGTCGGGTCACTGTTGGGTCAGTGATACAACAGTCGGGGGCACTGTTGGTGTCAGTGATACAACAGTCGGGTCACTGTTGGTGTCAGTGATACACAGTCGGGGCACTGTTGGTGTCAGTGGATACAACAGTCGGGTCACTGTTGGTGTCAGTGATACAACAGTCGGGGCACTGTTGGTGTCAGTGATACAACAGTCGGGGCACTGTTGGTGTCAGTGATACAACAGTCGGGTCACTGTTGATGTCAGTGATACAATAGTCGGGTCACTGTTGGTGTCAGTGATACAATAGTCGGGTCACTGTTGGTGTCAGTGATACAACAGTCGGGGCACTGTTGATGTCAGTGATACAACAGTCGGGTCACTGTTGGTGTCAGTGATACAACAGTCGGGTCACTGTTGGTGTCAGTGATACAACAGTCGGGTCACTGTTGGTGTCAGTGATACAACAGTCGGGTCACTGTTGGTGTCAGTGATACAACAGTCGGGTCACTGTTGGTGTCAGTGATACAACAGTCGGGGCACTGTTGATGTCAGTGATACAACAGTCGGGTCACTGTTGGTGTCAGTGATACAACAGTCGGGTCACTGTTGGTGTCAGTGATACAACAGTCGGGTCACTGTTGGTGTCTGTGATACAACAGTCGGGTCACTGTTGGTGTCAGTGATACAACAGTCGGGTCACTGTTGGTGTCAGTGATACAACAGTCGGGCACTGTTGGTGTCAGTGATACAACAGTCGGGTCACTGTTGGTGTCAGTGATACAACAGTCGGGTCACTGTTGGTGTCAGTGATACAACAGTCGGGGCACTGTTGGTGTCAGTGATACAACAGTCGGGTCACTGTTGGTGTCTGTGATACAACAGTCGGGTCACTGTTGGTGTCTGTGATACAACAGTCGGGTCACTGTTGGTGTCAGTGATACAACAGTCGGGGCACTGTTGGTGTCAGTGATACAACAGTCGGGTCACTGTTGATGTCAGTGATACAACAGTCGGGCACTGTTGGTGTCATGTGATACAACAGTCGGGTCACTGTTGATGTCAGTGATACAAACAGTCGGGTCACTGTTGGTGTCTGTGATACAACAGTCGGGTCACTGTTGGTGTCAGTGATACAACAGTCGGGGCACTGTTGGTGTCATTTATACAACAGTCGGGTCACTGTTGATGTCAGTGATACAACAGTCGGGGCACTGTTGGTGTCAGTGATACAACAGTCGGGTCACTGTTGGTGTCAGTGATACAACAGTCGGGTCACTGTTGGTGTCTGTGATACAACAGTCGGGTCACTGTTGGTGTCAGTGATACAACAGTCGGGGCACTGTTGGTGTCAGTGATACAACAGTCGGGTCACTGTTGGTGTCTGTGATACAACAGTCGGGTCACTGTTGGTGTCAGTGATACAACAGTCGGGTCACTGTTGGTGTCTGTGATACAACAGTCGGGTCACTGTGGTGTCTGTGATACAACAGTCGGGTCACTGTTGGTGTCAGTGATACAACAGTCGGGTCACTGTTGGTGTCTGTGATACAACAGTCGGGTCACTGTTGGTGTCTGTGATACAACAGTCGGGTCACTGTTGGTGTCAGTGATACAACAGTCGGGTCACTGTTGGTTGTCAGTCATACAACAGTCGGGTCACTGTTGGTGTCAGTCATACAACAGTCGGGTCACTGTTGGTGTCAGTCATACAACAGTCGGGTCACTGTTGGTGTCAGTCATACAACAGTCGGGTCACTGTTGGTGTCAGTCATACAACAGTCGGGTCACTGTTGGTGTCAGTGATACAACAG